CTGTGGCATTCATCGCGTATTACGGCCTGTGGTAATGCCTGGGCTTTCAATATACACACATATGCACACATGTACATTTGCAAACACACACACAAACACCTACGAACGTACGATTACAACATGAATGAACTACCACATCAATGTGTGGCATCATTGAGCGTCATAAGGAATACGTGTCAATAAATTCCTCCATGGAACATCTACCCCACTTAAAAAATACTCGATGGAATCCTTCGACACACAAGATTACCACCGATGAGTGTCTGTAATTGTGTACTTATTGTTTGAATGGTAGGTTGTTCCTGCGTTATTTTTTGTGGGATGAGGGCAGTAATTTGATAAATTGGAACCTTTTAAAATTACGACAGTCCCCTTACGGAAGGAAACAATTTTGGCATTGGGAAAAAGGGATCGAAATGGCAGACAAAAAAGTAATTAAATTCGGTAGGGTCAAACGCGCCATACGTTCCACACCTAGCATGTGATGAATACGTGAGAGCAAGAATGACTTCTAGTCATGGCCAAACAAGAATAATTATCTTGGAAGCTGTGTTGGTGGTGTTGGGAGGCGCAACAAGTCAATGATTGTAGAACTTGCGGTTTGGCGCCGTTTGAGGCATAAGTCAAGTGTATGTGTCATCTGATGTCGCACCCATAGCTACTGAGGGTATATATCATTTGTTATGACATAGTGGTTTTACAGAACATGTCCCTTTGAAGGAAATTCCCTTCGCTAGCCATGCTCGTCTGTTTGTTTCTCTATTTTGGGCCCCTCCACCTGACATGCCGTCCACAAACGGACAACATTTAAAAAACAAACAAGTATTTCTTTCTTATATTAACTAAAAACGCCATATTTTCATTCGAGTAAAAAAATCCACACCAACTGCAAAGTAAGCAGACCCCGCTAGCAAATCAAATGCGTCAAACATAGATATCTTTTTTTGTTGTTGCAATAAAACCATGTTCACAGTTGGACACAATTCTAATGTCTTCCCAAGTAAAAGCAAATTTGAGTTATAGCGTAAATAATAGAAATACACATGTGTAGGTAAATGCATATGTATACACACAGGATTACATGGCACTAAAACTTTGGCTGGTTTCACGTGAACACATTTTGCCGTCAGTAGACTCTGATTACCAGGATCATTATGATTCTAAGTTGGATGGATGTCGTGGTTCCATTATCATGCCGAGTACTTCACAACACTTGTTAAAGACGTTAATACAAATCCGTTATACAAACGGCTAATTTGCATTACAACACCACTTAAAACCCGTAAAACGCCGCACAAGGACATCATAGCTAAAGCTACCACATGTTGAGAATAACTCGAATGTCATTCTAGAAGTACTTAATAAGCTGCCTACCAACCGATTAAAAACATGTTTGGGTTTTGTCACAAACACAAACGGCAAACGTTAAATACTCGCAAGAAGTTTCTACGCAGTTGAACGTAATATAACTCTGTGGCATATACATACATACACACGTATACATGTGGGCTATACCCGTTCATAGACGGAATAATATGACATTAAGGACTGGTTGGTTGTGAAGTTCAGATGATGCTACAATGATCAAACAATGCCAAGAAAAGTCCCAGCAATAGATTTGGAATTTGGAAGAGTAATGAAGTTCGCATTCTAGTCTGATTTGTCATTGTCAGAGATTGTCATTTAAGCGAGTAAAAAGCTCATAAAACCTAAAATTTGCAAATGACCGGACGGTGGAATTTGTCACGGGAATTTTAACCCATTTCTCAATAGCTTGAAAGTGCCTTTTTATCGCACTTCGGTGCAATGCATTCTAAGCAGGTGTTATATTCGAATTCATTCGATAAATGATGTTTAATCGAACAACTTCATTCGCCAAACATACAATTCTATATGCCAACGCTACGCGCTGACCCGCATCAACTTCAAACTTATGAAAATCCGTATGGCTGCATTAACAACGCGTCAAAGTTGAACATTTTTTAGCTTTTTGTGTAAATTTGACAAGCATTTGTTTTGTGTGTAATGAGCCTTGTGTGAGTTACCCGAACACAACGCGCAGCGTATTCATCCTGCGTTGGCTCCAATGATTATATACTCACAGTTCAGAAAATGCGTTTATCAACTAAGACAAGAAATCCCAAGGTGGACAATTTGAAACTTTTCGTTAAATGATTGTGTACAATAAAAGGTGTCGTACTTCAAGTAAAAGATACCGAACCATGTTATCGGTATCATTTGTTGTTTCTCACCTTCGCCAGCAATTAAACATAGCCCCTAATGAATGTACATTTTTTTCTATAGTTCGTTTTTATTTTCGACCATGGTACAGTTATTGCAGGTAGCAGCAAAGCGCGGCTGATTGGACTTTAGGGTAACAATAGTGTCAAATTCAATATAGCGTTTTGTGATTTAATTGCATTTCTTGATATACAATGGGTATACGCCTTTTTTGATATAGAATTACAATGCATGACAATGTGAACAAATATTTCTAAAAATAATTGAAAAAAAAAAAAAAGAAATACTGTAATAATTTACAAAACGCCAACCGCGATGGTGGACAGAAACTTTATTCGAGGTAAAAAATCAGTGACACCACATTAGGTAATATAGTCGCGTATTTCATGTTTCCTAAACTTGCAAAATGTAGAATACTTTATTTGTATTCGCAGTTTGGTTTCAATTTGAAAGGGATGTTGGGTTTTCCATGATTTTCGAGCGATTTTCAAAGTGTTGAGAGGTGTAGACCCACAGCTAACAACTATACATTCAGGGAAAAGGATATGAACGCATTAAAATTATATATTTTCAGAACTATTCTTCTGCATTTGAAATTTAATAATCCCAATTCCAAAAATGTACATTTTTATATTTCAAAAATAATTTATTGAAAATTAATCGTTTTGCTTATATTTAAAGACATTAAATTCTGACACTTGTCTTACGGACTGAAACAAATTTGTATGTCGTTTTTGCTACGTTTGTTCTACAACAAGACGTACTGTTACCTGTTTTATTCTACCATGATTTTCGACAAAATAAAAACACAAATAAACAGACATTTTGTCTGAGTTTTGTAGGCTCGTCGGATTTCGGTAACATTCATTCCTTCGGTCCGTTTAAATGCAAAACCTTTATGTGTGTTATCCCACCGATAACTAGTTCGTTCGTGATCAAATCACCATAAATCTGACTATGGAAAACAAGTGTTTAGTATTATTGATGATGCTCTTTTCAATGAACCGTTCAATCGAACTAGTTCGTTCGTGATCTAAGCAACTCTAGTCTCTATTGATTAGAGCGATATTTTGGAAGAATTGACATTTTGTTATGAAATGTTGTGATCTGCGAACTAAGGGTGTGGAATTTTGTTTTTCCATAAAAATTGTCTTCTCATCATCGACTTCTAGAATATGTGCATACCAAACATATCCTTTGTCTATATATATGGATGGATAATGCTCCAGGTATAGGACAGCTCCGTACACAGTGCATAATAGAATATTAGACAACTGCTGTGACTAGCTATTCAATACAGAAAAGAAATGAAATAATTTGCATAAATTTTACCTAAAATAAATCATGCAATAGACAGCATCATTGGCCCGAGAGTTGTCCATTAAGAGAGCGGGATTTTACTATTCGATGTACGAACAAGCTATCACGTTTTACCACCCTCCACCATCGTATGAAGGGTATATTAAGTTGGTCACACATAGAAATAAGAGTTTTAGACTCCACAAACTACATATATTCTTGATCAGGATACAATTCTATATCGATTTAGCGATGTCCGTCCGTCTGTGGAGATCACTCTAGCTTCTGAACTAAACGAGGTAGGCTGATAAAATTTTACTCAGACGTGTAATATTGAAAATTAGCTAACTGTGCCGACAGATTTAAGTTTTTTGTGTGTTTTAGTCACAACTTTAACCTGAATTTGTTGTCAGTATTTGCAGAATGGATTTCCATTATGTAAGAAACATCCTTGAACTGTCAATATAGGTCTAAGTTTTTTATATCCCCATACGAGTATATCGGTATTTTGATGATTTTAACGACATTAACCTGCGGAATGGTTCCAAATCTCGTATTGTAAGTTCGTAGTGGGTACTACAGTATATGATAGAAAATTGTACATGCCGGTCCAGGTCTTCGTATAGACCCATATAACTATACCTCCATATATATTCGGTATTTTGATGATTTTTGCGACATTATCCGCCGGAGTTGTTTAAAGTTTCGTATTTGAATATTGTAATGGCATATGACAAAAATTGCATATACAGGTCCGTGCTAAGTACGGTAAGTCCTCATATTCGAAAATTTGCAAATTACTTCCAAATGGTGGAGTGCATTTAAAGTTCGGCCAGGCCAAAATTACTGTTTTTTTACCTGCTTCGGATTGTCGTAATGTTTATGAATTATGTGTTCACCTATTTGTTTACGAATATGTGAACTGTCACTTAGCCAGAATCCTGCGAAGGCTGTGTGTTGGTTTTCGCATAAGCGACAACACCTTTTCAGCATTCTTATTGAGCTCGTACCGAGGTGTGTCCATGAATATTACTAGTTCGGTTTCATTTCCTTAGCGTTCAGTTCCTTTTCGTATAACCCGCGACATGAATTCAATTGCCTTTGTATTTGATGAACGGAAATGACTTCTCGTGCCATTCCGCTGTTATCGCCACAAAGGAAATCACCCAAATCTGTAATCAAATTTTGAACGCATTTGAAGAAAAGTAGTTTGATTTTTCGGTGCTCACCTTCGAGGATAGAAGATAGTATTGCTTGTGACTGTAGCCAGCAGCTAATAGCTGCCGTAGTGGTGTCACTAAACACCCGCCAACTAAAATGAATCTGTACATGCTCAGATGCAACAGTTGTCGGAGTTCATCCTCAATTCCAGGTTCGAACTGTCACGAAGGACAGCCCTACTCATTGTTGTCAACGACCATAGTATTTATTTTAGTTGCAACTCCATTTCTATTCCACAGGATATTTTCCCTTGGGCTCGGAGCACTGCCTGACTTGGATTTGTTTGGATGTGCTCTTCTGTACGGCAAGTATAATGCACTTGTGTACCATTTCTGTGGATCGATATCTGTCGCTGCGTTATCCGATGCGCTTCGGGCGGAACAAGACACGCAGACGGGTTACTTTGAAAATAGTGTTTGTGTGGCTGCTATCCATCGCCATGAGCCTGCCGCTGAGTTTGATGTATTCGAAGGTGAGTACTCTACCGGGGAGTATTTGTATTATTGTTGGTCTTCCATGCGCCTATACTACTGCGTTTGGTAGCGTCAGAGGCATGCCTTTAGACAGGAAATATCAATGTGTAGTGACCGGTGTTTAATCCGTGTCTTTTCTTGTCCCTCTAGAATCACGCTTCAGTTTTGGTTAATGGTACTTGCCAGATACCGGATCCTGTGTACAAATTAGTTGGATCGATTGTCTGCTTCTACATACCGCTGGGCGTCATGCTATTGACTTATTGCCTTACGGTGAGGTTGTTGGCACAGCAAAGACAGAATCTCGGTGGTCACAACCAAACAGCCGCACCCGGCTGGGCAAGTGGATGGCTAGGTCAAACACCAGCTCTAGGTAAGTTTAATCGGACACACTCATCATCATTTCCGTGTCATCCGCCCACAGGGGGCACAGAAGGAATAAATGTCAACATTTGTGTGAATTTGTCCATAGTCAGAGGACAACATTGTCAAAACTACATATACATATGTACACACACATACAAGTTTGAGGACACCCCTCAATGTTTACACAGGGACGAGCGCATGTGGCTTTTAGGAGACGAAGTTCATGATATGTTTGCGTGTGTGCCTGTGTTTGTGAGGAGGGATGCTCCCACTTGAAGATTTAAGAATGTCATGTAAAAATCTGAATAGGCGGCAACGCGTTGTATCCTTTTCTCGAAACGTCAAATCCCTTCTCAATAAACTGTCCGTATGAAAGCGAATAAGTCGACACTTGGAATTATAATACGGAAGCAAGGAAGGATATATGAATATGAGTAAATGTAATTCTGGGAAATAAATACGTGCATAATACATACATCATTTCCGCACTCGCCTTTCATCTGGTAACATAACGAATGCGGTATACAGTGGGCCCCGGTTATACAAAATCGGGTAAATATTTCGTTAGAACCTAGATGCTTGCTCAATCGAATTGCCACCTTTAAACACTCTTCGCAGACGTCGCTAGGTAATAATCATTTATTTCTCTAATTGAACAGAGCGCCGTTGTACCTGGCGTCGGTTGCTCAAAACCGGCCATAATACCAATGCAACGTCTACGGCATTGCATGCTCATTCTGCCAATTCCACAGACACAGAGCTGTCGACGCTGGATAACCATGAGCTGTGGCTGCCAGAATCAAGGTAAGTTCGGAGGCATTTTTGAACAAAGCACCCTTCCACCTTGTATCTCGCCCTCGGTACAATGAATTTAAGGTAGCTTATTTCATTTTATGCAGTGTTCCAGAGCCAACGCCAACAACAATGACAGCCTTACACCAATTCGGAGCCGAAATGCTGAAGCTTTCCCGCGGGTTGGAATCGGTGGTCTCTTCATCGACAGGATCCCCCACAAAATCGGAATTATCCTCGGCTAACATGCTACCCTTTTTGCATAGCCCACTGCAAAAGCAGCATTCCTTACAGTCCGAGGGAAGTCAACCGACCTCACAATACCCGCCACACAACCAAGCTCAGCACCAACTCGTGCTACTGCCCGCTACCCCCACTCCAATGTATGCCACCCTGCATCAGATGAAGCCCCTCTACCACCCGACTCACCCATATATACATCAGCCGCATCTTCAGCAGCCATCGGACTTTCGTGTTCATAACAAAGCAAACCCTTTGTCTCTATCGAACGCACATCCATTCCTCCCCGCTTTGGATTTTACGAAGGACTCCAAAGCACGAAAGCGGTAAGTGTAGAGTATCACTGAAACCAATGAGCTTTTACAAAAGAGGTTTTCTAGCCAACACAATGCCAGCAACAAACAGCAAACTAATTCATTGTTATTTGGTTAGGAAGTACGGCAAGTCACTTTTTAGACATATTTGTTTTAGCCGTCTACGCCAGTGCAGCCAAGCATTACACACAGTGTAGGGAAGTCCATTACGTATAGCGTTAAATTATTCAAATCATTTCCCCTACACACCCTCCGGCTTGGATGCTATCGGCAATTGAAAATTAAATCGTGTCATTGTTTGAGTTTGCCGGTTTGTCGAACAACATGTCAAGCTGGAGTAAACGAAAAAAGTGTACGAAGAGGGATTGTGGATTCAATTCAAGCAAAGGCGATTCAGTCCTCCATTATCAACGACGACTTATTAGACAAACCCTATCGGTAATCTTGTTAGGGGTTCGAAGATAGTCTGAGATTGCCGCCAAGTGTTCTATCGGGCCTCCTTGTCGAATGGGGGATGGGAATATTGATGGGAATTGATAGAAAAATATCAATTAGATGAAATCTGAATTTTGGTTGTGATACGTCAATTCGACTTTTGTAGTAAAAATATAATGTAGTACATTACGATCAGCTCTTTATCAATTTAAAGCATCGGTCGCTACAAATGTAATTTGTTAGATTTTTTAGGGTGTAATAAGGTTGGTTCAACCTTTATTTGCTTGTAAACGCAGGTCATATGGTTTTTACACTTAACTAACCATGTAGTAGGTATTTCATCACTTTTGTGGAGTTCGAAAAATGTCGCGAAAGAAAACAAACGAATCGATTACGGTACCGCTCACATGAAGTAACAAACTTTTAAAATTTCAATGCCAGAAATACCCAAACAATACGATTGCCTTAATGTACTTCGGCTGCGAGTTGCCGAATTGTATCGTTTGCGAACGAATCGCTAGGAAATGTTTCCAAACGTTAGCTGTGCGAAATGATGACTACTATATTTAAAGTAGTCATTCTAAATATTTTGTTTGCGAAATGGCCAGGCTCAATCTCTTTATTGTTGTTTTTATAAAAGCAACGTTTGTTTATTAGTGGAGAAAGATGGTAATGTTTACCAGGGGGTAAGGCATTGAGCTATTGAGCTTACGTAAAAAAAGTTTTTTGTCATAGGAGTTATTTTTAGAATAACACCTAGGGAGAATATACCATCTTTCTCCACTAATAAACAAACGATGTTTTTATAAAAACAACAAGAAGGGGATTAAGCCTGACCATTTTGTAACAACAAAATACTATGGTATCCCGAACAAACAAGCCAACACTGTTCCATTTTGTTTGCACCTTGTCGATTGTATGATAGACATAATTAATGAATAAAAAGGCATACATTTAACTTGCTATTAATTTTTACTTTATTTGTAATGAGTTCATATAGAGGGAAACGTTTGCAAACGTTTCCAATAAGTTTTGTCCGTTTCGTCACTAAAGTTGCGTCATCCAGCCGAGTATATTTCAGTTTTGTTTCTGTTTCCACTCCTCCACACAAACAGTACAAAATAGAAAACAAGTCCCGTTATCTTAATATCTGTTCTGTTTTGTTTCGTACATCGAAAAAATACATAACGAATCGATTGAAAACGTTTGATATAGTTTATTTTCGTACGCTGATAAAAATGGTTATCGATTTTATTTGTGGGTGAGTGAGTGAGTGAGTACTTTAAACGTTATGCTGCTGAGTTTTGCGGGCGAACGTGTTATTTATAATTATCTGTGGCCACCTCAATAAAAAGTATGAAATCTTGCGAAAATGGATATAAGTGACGGATCGGAATAGGTAACATGTTATGTTTACACTTACCAAATTAGCTGAGCACAGAATGGAAATGTAAATTGCTAATAAGGCGAAAACAAAACTTCTGGGCATTCAAATAAGATTGTAAAAAATAATATTCTAACCGAGAAAGAGTAGAGACAGATTTAAAAAATTGGTTCGGTAAGGTGCATTTGATTCAGAATCTATAAATTTGAAGGTTATTCTTATTCCACAAATTCAAAACTTATCATTATTATTATTTAGAAACCTGATAACTTCACATTAATAGGTCGACAAGTTCAGCCAGAACCAAACACCGATGAATAGGTGAGCTTGTCTCATCGACTTGGGTGGAAGTCGTAACAACATGTTGTTTTTATACCCTCCACCATACTATGGAGGGTATATTAACTTTGTCACTCCGTTTGTAACTCCAACACAACAAAGTATTTTCAATTCAATTCAATTCAATTTTATTTATCCAATAACTATTTTCTAAGGAACATAGAATACAATTTTTGAGATATATCATAGTGATTTACAGCAATTAAATTTCATGTAATAATTTATAAATAAGAGCACTAAATTTTAATTGATTTATAGGAAAAAGGATACAAATCCTATATTTGAACTACAAAATAGAACACAACAAAGTATATATATTCATGATCAGCGTAAAATTCGAAGTCGATTTAGAGATGTCGTTTATCTGTCTGTCTGTTGTAATTACGCTATCTTTCGAACGAATTGCGAGAGAAGGCTAAAATTTTGCACACATGTTTATTTTCCCGGCAGCCAGGCTGTGTTTGTAAATGGGGCATGTCGGTTTACGTGTTCGTATAGTCCCTATACAACGGTACCTCCAAATATTGGGTATTTTATACGTTACCATCTTCAGGCCATTTTTCTTCTCAATTATTCATGATTGGAGGAATTGTCACTCGACGGAAATGCTTCCCGTGGGAATGCATAGAATTCCGCCCGGATATTCATGATAGGGCTGAATGTCAATTATTTTCTTTGAAAAGTTTTATCAATAAAATTATGTTTTTGAGGTACCTGAAGTTGACTATTTTACCCATTTACGGACTCAATATAGAAATATTACGATGTAACAAATTTGGATGTAATCGGATATTCCTTTCGAGAGTTACAGCGCGCGTCAGCCAATTGGTCCTGAAAATGATTTCGTCCAAAGAGACCTACATATGGCCTAAACGCGTATTTCGATAAGCCATATCTTTGCTCAGATATGAACCAGCGTAACTAATTTTCCATGGTATAACTGGAAAAAATCATATCTTCCACACGTTCTCGGCTTGATTTCGACAATTGCTGGCCTGCTGGCTCTCCTTCTGTCCCCTTTCAAAATGGATCTACACAAATACCATGGAAAGAAAAAAAAACATATTCGTACGCATGGTTGATTTTATACCAGGAGATTGTAAGAAAGTTTTTATTTTGGTACTGTCTTTGCAAAATAGAGTGGCCCTGATATAGATTTATTAGGTGTGTTCGACACCTTTCCCCGTAAAAAAATACTCTGTAACTTGCATCGAGGAGATTTTCCCTCCCACCTCGAACAAGGTTCTGTAAAAACCAGCAAAGTGTACGTGGGATACTTTTATACGAATTAAAATTATTCATTTTTAGTGAAACCCTTGTGATTTGATTCTTTCTGAGGATCCAACTCCCTCGTTAGAGTTTGAAAACTCTCATTAACTCAAGTGTCAAAACTTTTCTCCATCTCTAAACAACAGTGTTGAACAAAACTGGTTGATCTTTAATCAGAAAGGAATTATTTCCGTTCGGTTTGGATTGAATGTGGGTATTATCAAAATGTCATGAACGGAAACCCCCAATTCCGGGATAGCGAAGTTTGTTCAAGAACCATTTTTGCATCGTAAGTTCTGGTGCTGCGGTTAATTAGAAGCTATTAATTTCGTCCGAAATTAAATGTTCGAAATTTAGAATTTCGCAGAACACGTCCTGCTATTCCCCCAATCTGATCGAGGAGCCTTGTTGTCGTTGATGCCTTATCAGCATTTTTAGCCACAGATGGTGACAAATAAGGAAGGCGAACATAATCCACATTTTAACATCGATTTAGTCACGCTTGTATGTGTGTGTGTGTGGGTGTTTACGTACGCAACCCCGCACAATCGAGCACAGTCCATCTGTGTGTACTCGTGCATGTATATATTTTATCGAGTCTGTGGATGAGCCTAAGTAGCCGTGTTTGTAAATTTCCATTGCATCTGTAAATAGAATAAATTTATAATGGCGTTTTTGAAATGCTTGCCTCTTCTGTGCGACGCTGTTTCGTACCTCAGCGTGCTGAGCAGAGCCGTGTGTGTATACGAATAATATGCATGAGCCATGAATGCGAACAATTTCCACAGATTCCATTCTAGTTTCTTTGTTTGTGTAAAATACAGATTTCATTCAAATGCGTCACCAGACTTTACGAGTGCGACGAGCAGTGTGGGTGGGGGGGGGGGGGGGGGGCTTGGTACATGCCACCACTAAGAAGCACTCCGCTTGCAAAGGTCTTAGTGTCCGATATTATAATCCGTTTAGGCAAAGCCAAAGCACAAACAGTTCGTCTGTTGGATTCTGACGTTGTGTATTTTGTTATTGTATCTGTCGGTCGGCCTTCTTGTGACAATATTTTTCCATAAACCAAGATATATTTGGAAGTGTGGCGAAGTAAGGCCAAGCAGGCCAAGAGGTCATAGATAAAATGTTAAATATAGATAAAAATAAAAATTAAATGTTTATCAAACAATTGCAAACACTCATTTTAGATGTCCGTTATAATTGACTGATGAAAGTGAACAGGGTTTTATTTGGTTGATAAATATTCATTGATGTCTCCTAACTGCTTTCAGATCCTTGTGCGACGTCCGCGGAAGCCGCAGGAGACTGTGTGTATATGCCAAGAAACGTAGAGCATCTATGGCGGCATGCATACAACCACCAAATACTCCCACAACGCCCTCCACATGGAACAGAAATCGTTTCTACAGCTTGCCTCAGAACACCCTCTTTGGGAGACAATCATCCCTGTCTCTGCACCGCAACTCCTCCGAGGAAAAGCTTGCCAATAGGGGAACTGCGAATTCACCCACGAAACCCTGCCACTCCGACACGGAAATGGATACTGGCGAAGCACTCAAAATTTGCACCGACAGCGGGAATGATGAAGGATACCTCCAGTTTCCGCCCATATGCACGTGTCCCTATTTTGGAAATCGTCCCCTATCCAACTGCATAAAACCGGCCGAGGTGAAAATCGTTTCCACAACTTTTAAATTAACCACCAGCACGCCGTGTGATGTCGCACCAACGATTGCGGATGAGAGCAATGCAAACCTGACAAATACCCACACAACATCCAGCCTAAGTCCACACACCATGTCCATTTTAAATAGCAACCACTCGTCGAGCACACTGACTGTTGAGTCCAGCAGCGACGGCTGCTTCCTGGCAGCACCACAGACACCAAAGAGAAAACTCAGCATTTCAAAAACCGCCTCCATTGTGACGTGGGATTCTGGAAGACACCGCAGGAGGGGATCAAGCTTCGGAGGAGCGCGCACATCTCTATTACTTACGCCCACCAAGACTGGAGGCCTTACTACGTCGACATCGGCGACGCCTCTGAGAAGATCTGCAACACTGAGGAGCCACAACAATATGAACTATGCCGGTAGCGATGCAGCCACGTCGACTGGCATGAGAATGAAATCAAAATCCCCCCACTCTTCGCCGTGCTTGTTGCAACGCAACCAAACTGTGCGTTCCCATCACTCGCGCAACTCTAGTGTGATTTCGAGGAACTCTTCGCGCCACGGGCGCATCATAAGGCTGGAGCAAAAGGCCACCAAAGTGTTGGGTGTTGTGTTCTTTACGTTCGTAATACTGTGGTCGCCTTTCTTCGTGCTCAATTTGCTGCCGACAGTGTGCGGCGACTGTGAGGACCGCATAGACCACTGGGTGTTCGATGTGGTTACCTGGCTAGGCTATGCCAGTTCCATGGTCAATCCCATATTTTACACCATCTTCAATAAGGTATTCAGGCAGGCGTTTAAGAAAGTTCTCCTGTGTAGGTATTCAGGGACTTCGTCCAGTTGGCGCCCGCACAGGTAGCACAACCAACCCACCTTGTCCATGAAAATGCCACTGGGAAATAAACCTAAAATGGTGGAAGTGGGTCCAACTGAACGCAATTGCCGCAAATCCAAAGCGCACCCGCGTTCCAAGAAATCATTCAAATGGCACGGCTTTTCCAAAAGTTTCAACAGTCGTGGCAGATGAAAAGGATGGTAAGTATTGATGAGTCGAACAACATTGCAAGGGAATAAACAAACCAACAAACAAGTTGTGAGCAAACATGACTTGAACGAAGCTCTATCTTCGCAAGCAAACAGCTCACATGAGTGGAGAGCTGTCTCAATCTAGTTCATACTTCAGTACGCCAGTTCCTTAAAGTAGTTGTAAAGAGTGATTTCATAAATGTCATATACTTCATATCAATCATACGCAGAGTTTTCATACAAACGACCGGAGTCCCCCGAACGAGATAAGGAATTGGTTCGTTCTATCGAACTAGAGTTGTTTACCAATTATTGTTGAATTGTTCATAACGGGGCGATCATCCTTGATGAGTATGACCGGTTTGATTCATCCTTGTAAAGTGAGTGATTTGATTTGATTAAAACACAAAGGATCGAATCTGAGCAAAATCACGTTGGTTATTTATTATTAAATAATTTAATAATTTATTAGACTTCAGTGACTTATATCTAAAAACCAAAATCTGTATTTAAAATAAAGCAACACATCAATGGTATTTAATAAACAAAAAATGTTTAAATATACTTTTTGTGATTTCACAATATCGGTCATTGTGTTTCGCACCAAACGCCGACCTTTTCGTTTATCAGGCAGTGTGTAGTTTATACTTGCAACACTTTTGGTTGCACCATCACAATTCGGCTACATTTCAAATATTGTAAAAGTCAAAACCAAAACTGCCCCGACTCGATTGAATGGTTGAATAAAAAATGATGCTGAGCAAACTCGATTGAGAGAAACAATGATTCAAACAAACTGAATGTTCGATTCGATCCGATGCGAAAACGATAATTTCATGCAGATCAAACCAAACGAATACACCAACAATAATCAGGGAAGAAACCGAGTACGATTGAAACTTGTCATACTCTTTAAGGAACATTTAAAGCTTTTCTGGAGGATGTACCCGATGAAGTTGATGAGTTGATGTATACAATTTTGAGACCAAATCATAAATTGACAGGACTATGAAGAAATCTCGATATTGTTTTAGTTTTTTAAGAGTTACTGTTGCTCCTTTTCAACTATCTTTTGTGGTGGAGGTATCCATAGGATGGGACCGAAATATTCCATCTTTATTCTTAATCAAATTTTGTTAGGAATATATCTAGCAAAGTTTGAACAAACTCGATGAATAATTTCGCATCTGGAAGGAGCGGGCAACTAGCCAAGGCTCCCATCCTGTGTAGGTCACTGCCTTTGTCTGATATTAATATTACGATGTGCCAATTTAGAACCAAATCTTAGAACTCGATCCAAGTTTGACATAAATATTAGGGTGTACACAGTTTGCCCCAAATCTGATAGTTTTCATGCGCTCCTGTCAACCAGTCAGACAGACAAACATTTTGTATACTCTCTGTAGCCATATGGCCGAGGATATAAAAATCAACGACTTCGGTTGTTATTCATGTCTGTGGTATTATTGTAATTTACGTCAACAGTTGAAATTGGTTTGGCACACGATGGGAACCAAATGCCGCCACCGACTTCACTCTGGTGTACGCTGAAAGACAGAGCAGCAATGGAGAACTTTTAAGATACTTTTGTTTATGTTACATTGCTAATAAAGACCAGGAAAAGTAGTTGTTTTATAGGATTCTTACAGACCATTCGCTTCGTTATGGCCACTCCAGCTGTGGCTTTAAACAGCAAAGACAACAACAAGTCATACAAGTGGTATGAAGAAGGATCCAGGTGTCATGGTACAGCATGCCTTACACGCACGAATGATATTTGATGTAATCTGTGAATCAGTCAACGTCTTGAAGACAATCATCGTAGCACTATTTGGCATGTAAGAACTTGAGCATAATCCAGAACAACATTCGTTTGGTGTCGATGAATATGCAACCAATTTCGAGACAAAAACACACATACACACATTACTTTAGAATAAAATGTCTTCTTTCCTCACACCCAACAAACTGGACAAGGCTTTAAAAAGTGTGTAATAGGAAAACTTTTCACTGTCCCTTGGAAAAATAAGTGCTAGAAACAAATATATGGTAGGGTGTTTTTTACACCCCCCACCATATATAGTATGGAGGGCATATTAAGTTTCTCATTCCGTTTGTAACTCCTCGAAATGATCATTCTACACCCCACAATGTATATATATTCTATGTCGATTTAACCATATTCGTCTGTTGAAATCCCTCTAGCTTTCGAACGAAATAGAGTAAGTTGATAAAATTTGGTTGAGATACATCCTACGTCCATAGTCATATGGGCCATAGAGGTTCACCTTTATGTTTAGCCCCCATATAACCTTACCCCCGATGTTCTGAATTTTAATGATTTGCGTCACATTGCTCACTGGAATTGCATCAAATTTTGTATTTGGAGTTCCTAATGGATACCACGTCCAATTGCTCGTACAGATCCTCGTCTTTGTATATCCTCCGTATATCGAATACCTCCCTATATTCGGTATTTTACTGATTCTTAGCTCTATTTTTCGCCATTATTATTTCAAATTTGGACTTCGTAATTGACTTGACTTGACCCAGTTCAAATGCTCTACTCAGTGAATCGTTGAGATTGAACTATACAACACTTGTGAACACACTTTAATATATTTTCCGATTTTTTTTTCAGTAATCCTGCGATGGCTGTGCAAATTATGAAACAAACAACCTGATGCGCGTTAGACAATGACAACACCGAGGTCTCGAGGTCTCGGAATTCTTGTAAATATCAACTAATATAAGGGAATCATTATTGGAGAGTATTCATACAGGCGCACCTGTACCAGGGACATCTTCTGTGTACATAAACATATATATATACATATACGATTTTATAGATTAATTAATTTTATACTTCCTATGACTTATGAACGTTAAAACGTAGCAATAGTATATACATAGTAGAAGCAGGGTAGAAACATTTACCGTAGCGTACCTCCATGTTAGGGACAAAGAGAAAATATTGTTGGAACTTCAATATCAAAACTCGTTAGATATTCTTTCTCTTCTATTCTGGAAATCGCCAAGAATGTGATAATCAAGAATACATTTTCCTTGGACTAATTCTCTCTCTTTCTCTCTCTCTCTCTCTCACTCACTCACTCACATTAAAAATGTGTCGAATTAGTTTTCAACAAATCATTCAATGTGATTTAGTTGTGGTAGTGGCCCGAATCTAATTTGGAATTGTATCAAAGGAAATAAGTTTTTGATTCCACAGGGTAACAAATGGAGAACTTCAATAGGAAGAGGAATTGAAAATTCATAACATTTGATTGTACCCTAAGTTTTAGTCTATGTCATGCGTTTGCTAGATTCGTGTACCAGACATTCGTACACACACACACACACACAGTCACATACAAATCCAATATCTGTCCGTAGTTCCTATTGTTCCTAGCGTTACACAATTCGCCACACGCCATCATTCTTTTTTGTTTGTTGTTTTTTTTTTGTTTTGTTTCCCCTTTCATTTCTTGTTCCCGTTTCGGATGTGGATTTGTATTTATTTTAAAGCAGAAAAATGAGTATTAACATATATGAATGTTATTCTATTTACGAATGTGTGTAACGAAGCTCTACTTTTTCATATTATGTTGTTGCTATTGTATTTTCGTTTTCCAAAAACAAAAGATCCCATTGTACCATACAATAAATGTTTATATAGCAGTGATGGAAAATAGAATAAAAAAAATGAATAGCTGAAAAAAGAAAACACAATTGTCGCCTCGTCACTTTAATCTCAGGTCCTACCTGCCAGGTAAGTATACACCAACACAACCCAAAACAAAGGGCACCTTATGGGAATGCTATAACGCCGATGTTTTCTTATGATATTTATTTTTCTCTTGTCGAAAACAATTTATGTTGCAGTTTTCGTGAAATCTGAACAGTAATGCGAGCAATGTTCCTATACTTGAAGATGTTATGGGAGATGTGATTTTACTCCAAAACAAAAAGACAGTATCACGTAGAGTTGTTAGATTTTTTTAGCCCACCCAAAAGATTGTCACCAAAAATGAACCTCAATGCAATGCAATTCTCCATATATATATATACATATAATTTTTAATTTACAAGCTTAGAACTATGTTTGAATTCTGGAGGGGCAATCAGATAAAGGTATTTTTCTTTCTGTAAGACAATTAGTCAAGGAACGAGCGAAGAATTGAATTGATTGAACGTGAGAAAACGGTTTGATATAGAAGAACTGTGACGGTATGTGCACTGACGGAGCGCGGGCTGTGTGCGGAAAAAAACAGTGTGGTTACAAGAATTCTTCAATAAAAATCCCTGAGCTTTGCGGACTCATTGTTGTCTTCAGAGAAACTGTGCTTAATACAGTTCTAAGAGTTGTAAATCACAGACGACAAGACCGTTGCAAGTTGCCATTATTTCAGAAGTTGTGAGAAGAAATGGATAGAATTCATGCATCTCTTCTTTTCGAAACCGAGACACGATGCTAATTCAGGGGAAATGTACTGTCGCCATCGGTTGAACAACGTCATAAAGTATCAACATACCGTGAGAAGAATTCGTTCTTAAGTTATCGCATTTAAACGAACTTAACTTGTTAAGGAGTAACTTTAACACTCATTTTGGGGACGATATGAAAAAGTTTGACTCTCGGTTGCTGGAAAGTATCGTCACTACTTTATGCCCATGTGAGGCCGGATTTTCGGCGTTGGTTCATGTAATAGTAACAAGTAAAAAACATTCGCCCGGGCCAAACTTTTAATACATTTTTTTTATAAAAGTATCTGAATTTCAATTAGAAGATTTTATACTTCAAGGATTGTCATCTAACAAATCTTCTAAAATACCAAATTTGAAACAATTTCGTGGGTACATGTGACTAGGATTATTAAAATACCGAATATCGGGAGGTGCCGTTACATGGGGGCCATACCAAAACGTGGACCTATACATACAATGTTTCGCCACCGAAGCTAGAACCCATTATGACCTACAAAGGCCAATTTTTAGACAAATCCGTGAAAAAAATGTGGCTTAAATCATCAAAATGCCGAAAATCGGAAGGTACCCTTATATGGGACCTATACAAAAACATGGACCTGTACATACAATGTTTCGCCACCAGAGCTAGAACCGATTTTGAACTACAAATACCAATTTTTAGACAAATCCGTGGAAAAATATGGCAAAAATCATCGACATACCGGATTTTGTAAGGTGCCGTTATATGGGGGCTATACAAAATCGTACATCTATACATAAAATGCTTCGCTGCCGAAGCTAGAACCTATTATGACACACAAATACCAATTTTTAGACAAATCTAGACAAAAATGTGGCAAAAATCATCGTAATACCGAATATTGGGAGGTATCGTTATATGGGGACTATATAAAAACGTAGACTTATACATACAAGGTTTCGCCCCACGAGCTAGAACCTATTATGACCTACAAATACCAATTTTTAGACAAATCCGTTGAAAAATGTGGCAAAGGCGACTGAAAGGCGTTGGTATTGAAATGGACTCTAAACGAATGGAAAACTATAATGACAAGAAATTGGAAATACATCCTTCCAATTGAAATAAATTGTTTTTACGCTATTTTAGTATTAAATAAAAAATGATATGTGTTACCTTTATTTTCTCTACAGCAAAATGGCAGCGCAATTTTTTAAGTTTTTTGTTAGATGCGTCGCAATCCAGTAAACTTTGGAAACAAAATAGCTTACCATGATGGTGGTGCAATTATATTTTGACCCTGGGCGCTCTTATTCACTTTCGTGGAAGTCATTGCTCTATAACTTGTACTAAGAAAATGTTCTCTCTTTGACTTTACGTAATTTACCTACGCTAGGTTCTTGTTTAGACTCCAAGTTGTTGCCACGAGAAACTCGTTTCGTGATTATTTTGTGCCTTTAAGTTATTTGGAAGTGACCCATCGATTGAAGCTTTAAAGCAATGCCTGTAGCAGGGCCTCGGATTTAGGGATCCATTTGGCAAGATGTTATTGTCTCCATGGAACTCAAGTTTTGTATATTTTTTATCAGGAGCAGCAAGAGCACAGGTGTGGCAGCTTGCTTGCCATATTAGTTTATCGTTTAACGGCCGACATTGGGTTAATCCACAAAAAAGATGCTTGTTCATGCAGTCGCCTATTCACGCTTTTATGACAAAGTCAACGGTTTACTAATTTACTGGCACAAGCTCAGAAACCACACTGCAGTCGAGCAGAGGTCCGTCCGTCCGTCCGAGTCTAATTTCAAGTTTATTAAAAGCAATTCGCCACATCACCATGAGTGAAACGGATTTTCCTGTTTGGTATTTTCGGTGATCTCTAACAGCTTTACCCACAGCAGCGAAGCACAATGTGATGAAGCACAATTTGCTTGTACAAGAGAGGGCGAATTGTGCGGGGCTTGGGCACCTTTGATGTCCTTGGTTTTAGTTGTTTAGGCACAAAACATTGCTTTGCGCGCCGATACATACTTACACCCATACATACATACATATATTTTATTTTTAGTCCATTGAGTTAATTATTGTTTTTACATTGGAAAATGATTCTGGATTTATGCTTTGTTTTTGTTTTTGCATGGTCACAATGACTTCGGTTCAATTCTGTAAGGCTGCCATTATTTAGAGGTTCATAAAGGAGGTGGGCCTCTTCTTCCTCTAATACATCCTCTGTCCTAGCCCCGCATCGCAGTTTTAACCGACAAGGCGTGTTCATTTGAATGATATGTAGGCCGCGAGAACGTTCAAAACGCGTGTTCTTTAATGTCGGAATTGTCGAACAACTCTTTAAAGGTGGAGCACATTGATGCTCACACACACACACACACCTCCTGTAATGGGTGCGTCGTTCTGTGTTCCGGGAACAACGGCCAAAGTCGCTGAGTAAAAACATTGAAATTGTTTCAATTGTCTGCCAATGTAGTTTACTAATACCGCGGTCACATTCCTCCAGCGTAATTTTATTCATTGGCGATGGTTTGTTGATTAGTTCAACAACTATGCCTGGAAATGAGGGTTGGTGTTGGAATATTGCCAATTAAAACGGTTGTAGTGTGGAATGTCATGGCCGAGTTGGCCAAAGACGCACAGCCATAGGAATCAAGGCTGTGTCCTGTGCTCTGCAGATTGGCGTAAATCAAATTCCTTGAGTATTTCAAGCGAAAAATAACACTTTTTGATTGTTTCCAATTAAAAGTTCCTTCCATGCCTGCGGTTTCGTCGTCAGAGTCCCTTGTGGAGATTTGCTACAGACTGCGGCTGTATTGAATCGAAGGCATAGCCCGGCCTTTGTATTTGAAGAAAAATGAAATACTTAACATTCCAAGTTTGATTAAATCAATTAAATTTACTATGGGTCAATTTTAAACATTTTTCGGCAAGTATAAAATGGGCCACCTGATTGGTGGCACATCATCATGAAGCAGAGAATTCTGAACAGGGTTGTGAGGTCAGTTCTGGTAAGACTCGGAGTCGTACCTGAAACCCTATCGTAAGATGTGGTAATGTGATTTGTAACTCTCAAGCCGTCTTAATCGGTGAGAATCTCGTCAAGATTATCGGCTTTAATTCAAATCGTAAGATATGATGAATGCAAAAAAAAAAAAGATTTTCTCAAAATCGACACAACTCTTTCGAACGAATCAAACTCTTTGATACAATTTGTATACCTTACACCACACAGTGGCAAAACAAAGAAAAGATAAACCGATAGTTCCTATTAATGATCTTTATACCCTCAGCCATATGGCTAGAGAGTGTATGTATCATTTGATATGGCCAAAACGTGCCTCATCGAAATAACGTTTCAGGACATTTGGAGTCGATCTAGCGATGTCCGTCCGTCTGGCTGACTGGTGCGCACGATAACTCTCGAAGGGAGTATCCGATTTGATCCAAACTGTGTACATCGTAATATTATTGTGAAACTAAATCGAGTTCGGAGTTGCACAATATCTTGAATATTTATAACTCTTATAAAATGTTATGTAAGTTGTCTTCAAATTACACACATCACAATATTTTTATTCACACAAGCTCTGGTGAGGTACACTCCTTCTGGTACCTCACCCACCAAGGGCCAAGATTTTGAATATTCTTGAAGCACATAAAACACAAATTAACATCCAATTCCATTTAGACTTGGCATATTTCCATAAACACAAGACCTGTTATAAAGATGCTAGAGACCGCACCATTTCTTCTGGTACCTCCCCCACATAGGGTACAAGATTTTTAAAAACAAAACGCTCAAAGAAATCGAAATTAGCATCGAACTCTCTTCACACATACAAATATTTTTGCTAACGCAAAATCTGTTGTGAAGATGATATATATCTGCCAACTCCTTCTGGCCACAATTTCCAATAATAATATCTGTCATAACTTACGAAACAAGTCCTAACCATCTGAATCTGATATAAATATATAATTTACTGAAATTTATGATTTCGCATAAAATTGAATATAAATGTTCGATCTCCTTCAAATTTTACACACAAATATTTTTATCTGTATTAGATGAAGTATGAGCACTTAGCGGAATACTTCGGTCCGCTATATTTGTTACATCACGCATACAGGATAGGATGGGCATCCGATTCTTTTGAAATGCCGCATCCCAATTTTGCTATCTTATGATACGTCCCCTACAAAAGAGCAAAATTCAGAATAATTCAAAACTATATAACTTGCAAACCACTTTAGCAGTTATCTTCGAGTATCTAAATATTTCTACCAACTATAGGTATAATGGGAATATGTGCATATATCGGTTCACTTCGCAAAGGGTCATCATTGATGACCATAATGAAAGGATCTAACTCTTGTAAAAAGTGGAATAAGTGACCGATGGTCTTCAAATCTAATATATGCCAATAATTTACCAAACAATGTGAATATAGGGTACATCGGACCACTATTTCTGGTACATACACAAGTAATCGGCCTTGCTCACCCTGGGCCGCCATTACTGATTACTTGTTATTATAGAAGTTATGTTGCCTTGTAAGTTTTATAGCTTACTGGTAATGCAAATGTAGTCGCCATTTTTTGGAAAATTGGCAATGCACAAAGTGGCACGTACTACTTCAACTTGTTGGTGAGAATGTATACTTTTGGAAGCCGATACGGTAAGGTCAGCTGCAGGCTTCTTTTGCTTTCAAAACATATTGTTTCCATTAGAAAAACCTCATAATAAATACTTCTGTTTGGACAAGTAGAACATTTGTGAAACAAATTTTGACAGCCAGAGAAGATTGAAATCTAACCTGTGTAATAAATCCGTAATGTTTGACCGTATTTCAGAATAGACAAAAGGGCCCCAGAATAAAGGCTTTACCCTAACAGGCAAATCCTAAAAAATATGGGATAATATGGGAATTAAAAAGGGACAGTCTGAGCACAGTAGACCAATGATACCCGATTGGGCTGTAACTTGATATTAACAGACGGACGAAGTTAAAGTGTTTAAAATCTTAGAGTTATCAAAGCTAATAAACAATTTTGTCCAATAACTTTTACAAACTTTTTGTTTATCTTTTTTATTTCGAAAATATTGGTCATCATACAGATAATCGACGCAAGCTAAGTAATGAAGATATACATTCTCCTCCTTCAACATCGTCTCCATTCACACACACTCGAATTGACAAGTAATTATTGGCGTATAACAATGGCTCCATCCTGTTCAAGCAAATGCCTACCGAGAGGGACACAAAAAAGAGCATGGAGCACACACGTACGTGCGCCTTCAACCCACGCATTTCCCATAGGTCAAATCGTTTTTGTAACTTTTTTTAACTTTCATAATAATGCTATTAACTGATTTTTCGATACGAAGAATCCGAACACATTTCCGAAAGAACAGACACACATGTGCGCACGGTTTGAGTCGTTGATTATCATGGGAGCCGCACCAGCAACAACACATCTCGCAAAGGAACAACAGCCAAGAGAGCTTAATGACTTGAAAAGTTTTTTCAGCTCCTGAGAATGCCGCGTTGAGGGCAATATAACTTTTCCATTTCATTTACGTGCCTCCGCATAGAAATGTGTAACCTCACATACACGCGTTTATTGGCAAAACTTTTCATCCCAAGCGAATGAGTAATCGACCGACTGGACACGAAAAAAGGGTTGTGTTTCCTTAAATTTGACAAAAGGAAAACAGCAAATCAATGCAGGATATTTCAATTGAAAGGAATAGCTACAATGGTAATCAGAAAGAGAGAAGAAGCGGACTCGATCGATGGGATTTACATGCTTCGAGCTGCTCGATTATCAATATAATCGATTGAATTTGATATGATATATGGTGTGACGTCACAACATTTCGGCACCTTCTTCTTTCAATGTCGAGATCCAATTCACTTAGAAATTCAAGCCATTACATTTAAAAAAAAGAAGAATCTTAAAAACTCAAATGCACCCAAAATCCAAACTTTGTTTTCGATTCTTCGGTGGAAAAATATTTTTCTCCGATCTTCTCAGATTTGTTTCCTAAAAATATGGGTTTTTAGAAAAAATATCGCAAAATATTCGACATCGAAAGCATATTATTGACAAGCTGAGAAAATGGTGAAACTCTGCTGTGAAAATGAAAAATTAACAGCAATATTGCCGATATAGCCATCGACGTGTTTCAAATTTCCTTATGAAACTTTAGTTAATCCGCTAGATATATTTTGCTGGCGAATTGGATAATGTGCCGGTGCGATGTAATTAACGGTAGAGACCTCGCCTAGATATAAAATAGGCAAATATTGTATTTTGATTGGGAGGGAATATTTGATCATTTTAACAAAAAAAAAAAAACGTTGGGTATGATACCACCATTTTCAGCATCATCCTGCATATAAATACACAGACATTTCATCCAAATGGACCACTTTCTAGTGATTTAAACGCAGCATGAGCGCTACCATATCATGCCCTTGGTTTTGCGGGACTAATCTAGCCATGGGAAAATACACCTGCATAAACCTCAAACTTTTCTTGTCTACCTTTCGTCTATTTGTTTTAATATTTTTAGTTTTTGTTGCTATTGTTGTTTGCCAATGATCCAATGGTAATACCAACTATACCATACCGCAAGAGAGGTTCACAATCATGATGCTGGCTGCTGATAAATAATTCCACTGAGGAGAGTGGAGGAAAACTATGTGTGCAAAGTAAATATTCCAAATTCCTGCCTCTACAAACATTTCACATTTTATTTAAAGTCTAATTGCCGCCGGCTGATAAATGGTTTGGAAATATAAACTTTGTTTAGCGAAGAGATAGAGAGAGAGTTGCACTGGAACAACGACAAACGACAAACAATAACACCAAAAAATAAGCTGTTAAGTCGACCGGACGGATTCTTAATATAATCCACAATTTGAAATGCAACACTTTAGGTCAACAGCTGTTGACATTCAGTATTCAGGAGGTAGTAACTTAGAATACCAAATATATGGGTCTATAAATAAGTTCTTGCATAAAATGTGTCATTCATACCTTACCTCCAAACACCAACTTTCAAACAATTCCCTTGAAAAATGTGTCTAAAATCATCATAGTATCGAATACCGGGGGAGGGTATAGACTCCATATACTACAACTTGGACCTATCCATATACTTCATGCCGTTTGAAAGCTAGGGTGATTTCCACAGACAGAGGGACTTCACCGAATCGACATAGAATCGTATGCTGATATATACTGGGTGGGGTTTAAAATTCCTATTTCGAGAAGTCACAAACCGATTGAAGAACTTATGATGCAGGGTATTAAAAGTAGAAACGTGCTGAATTAAAGCTATCCTTGCAACACGACTTTTTGATAACTACAACATTATTCTCAAATTTGATTCGCATGCGGAACGTAAATTTGAATAAAGTAGAACCACAGTGCTTGCGTAATATTTTATTGAAATATGCATTTGATTGATGTGCGAGTAATTAATTTTGAACGAAAATGCCGTTTTATGCTAATAGGTGTTTCACATTAATCAGATAAGACTGCTGGTGTCTCCAGTGTGGATCTGGCAAAATGGCTACATTTCTGACTTCCTGATTACTGATTCTTTTCCGCCAACTTCTGCAGGAGTGTGAGGAATGAAAAGGCCTGTGTAATCACCTATAAAACGAACAAAATGAGAAAACGTTCTGTCACATCACGTACTCCGAACATTACCGAACGTAGTCGCTGAACATCCATTCGATAAAATTTACCAGCTGTGACGACTACAACTCGCTTGCTATTGGCCAAAAATATAAAAATATCCCGCTTGATTAGGTTGCCATTTAACCACCACCCAGATCGCCAGAAGGCTTCACCCACACGAATGCTGTGGCTGCTGAGCAGTTCACCACAATATGTGAACATAAGTAGCTCGGATAGAGTCAGAGCCAGATACTGAACCAAGTTAATAGTCCTCATCGTAGAACGCTCGCCCTGCAACATGAAGACATTAACACATTCATTACTGAATCATACTCACAAAGCGTTCTCACCGCCACGCCTACGAATGCCAGGAGACATAGTTGAAGAGTGATCTGAAGAGATTTGATAAGACAATACGGATTGAACAGTCCCTCCAACGTATTGCAGCTCTTCAAAATGAATTGGTGCAAAAGGACACACTCTACAAGTGAGCTGTGTAGGGCTTCCTTAAGACTCGGCCGGGAATTGGGTTTGGAGACTCTCAGGGCCGTTAAATCGGTTAAATGTTCTTCCAAAAGTGCGTACTGGTTCAATTCATCGTCAGCCGGCCTTGGTAGGTCACGTTGAAGGTTCCTATTTTAAATTGGTTTGATTGAAATCCAAAATATTAAGTTTTTAATAAGTTTTCAAAGGCTGAGCTCGGCATGACATTTTCGAGATAAAGTGCCTGTTGTCGGAAGTATCTTGTGTAATGTGTGAAATTGTTGGATAATGGAAATGGATCTGATATCAGCTCGAACATAATAAAATTCATCAAGTTTTCAAAATGAAGGGAAAATAACAACTGACTATGAAGAGGGGGTAGCAGAAGGGTCTTAAGGCACTTAACAGATTACTTCAGCAGGTAACCGGAACAAGAGGGATAATAACCTCAATATTGGAATAAGTTCAAGTTCAAAGTTCACGGGGTCAAAATATTTGCACCGGGCAGACCACCTCTGTTGTTACGATATCGTACCTAAATACATGCCAAGCAGTGTTAAGTGATTTTTAACCACTAAGACAATACCCAACCCAATTAATTGGGAGCGCCAATGGAATATAATTTTGAACCCACATTTCTTAATTACTTAAAACTAATTAGTTAAAGAAGTGATGCTTTAATGTAATTGAGTTTTCTCACAACTCTTTTTCGTCAGAGAACCCATAAATAGAATTTATATATCCATGATCAGGGTAAAATTCTATGCAGATTTCGTCATATCAGTCGGCTGTCTGTCTGTCAGTCCGTTTGAAATCATGGTGCTCTATCATTAAGTATAGCTTTGAATTTTTCACAGGAGTTGGTATTACTCCTACGATAGCCCTCATATAATGGTACCTCCTCTCAAAAAATATCTAATAAAGATATAGCCCATATCGGATAGCCGATCGACCACGTAATCAAGTTGGCAGATGGTAGAGGTTTCTGCTCGTTCCAAAATGCATGTTGTCTAGCCTTGGCAGTTATTTGTCTTTGCACTTACTAACGAATAAATATCGACTTTGTCTTTCTTCGAGTTGCGTAAACATGTAGTACATCTAAATCGAATATACAACGATTTGTGGTAAAGAAAGCAAGAAGCCATTTTCTATATCTCTACAATAAAATGAATAAAATGACATGACACATATCATCTGATATCTTATTATTTATCAGCGAAGTTCGGTACGATCTGTCTGTATTTGGCCAAAATAAGAACATTTTAAATTCGGGTTCAAGTTCAAGGAACAGTCGGATTCTTAGGAATTTTAATGGACATTCGGCACTTGCAACAACAAAATAGACAAAATGCACTTGACAAGGAAAACTATTTTAAAGGAACATTTTTATACCCTCCGCCATAAAAAGGATGGCATAATAAATCTATCATTCCATGCATAACACCTAGGAGATACGGTAATGAATCCAGGCGTGATGGGTTACGATGTTTACGACAATTTTACAGCAGAAAATGATACGCAGTGTTGTCAACGCTTAACGCATCGCTTACCGCAATGTAATGAGATCTCCTCCTGCCAACAGCTGAGCGTTATAATCAACATTCTTTAGGCTGCAGTAGAGAACATCAAACTGACCCAGCATAATTAAAACCACCGACACGAAAAGGGCTGAACCGTTGCCAAAAATACAACCCATTAAAATCTGACACCACAGCTGGGTGGCGTAGACGACTTCGTAGACGACGGGCTTCTGAAAGGCGCAACATAACAATATCACTCACATAGTGGCCACCGTTTGCAATACAAACCAATGCATCGAAGGGGTACCAACACCGCAAGGGCAGGGTGTGAGAGCGCAGCAAAAGAGGGGCTAAGGCCCAGCAAACCACTCCGACACAGCAAGCAATGAGCCAGTACAACGTAACTTTGTAAGCCAAGCGGATCGAGTGTTCGGCACTGACAAACGTCAGGCCCGCCATTGAGTGATGCCGATAGTTGGCATTGATGTCGCCAATGAAACTATTCAAAGCCTCCGCATTGAAGAGCCAGTAACAAGTCGCGAAAGTGGAGAAGGAATATATAATAGCCATTGTCAAGGCATCCGTAATCTCCTCCAGCTCGCCATTGTGCAGCATGTCCAGTGTCGTCTTCACATACAGAATCGCCAGATGCAAGTTCGAAATCACACAAAAAATGCAGTAGCTCTTGGCGAACATGCCGGCGACGTTTTTCCACCCAAGGGGGAGGCGTCTCTCCAACTGCATTGGTACCTGACCCATGAACTTCATAAAAAGCAGCTGAAGCTTGAATACATCGTCCTCGCGTCCACTGTCATGCTCTGAGTATAAAACATCCGAATCGCCACCGTAAAAGTACACCGAAGGAGTCATCCTCTGCCGATTGAAGTTGGCCAACATGTGAACTGACCGTCCTCCAGGGTCCATTTAAATACGCTTGCCGCCAGTGGGCAACCAATTAGTAAACTTTGCATACAAATTCGTTCACTCGTTTAAATTTTTAATGGAATGGAAAGACGAACCGATACAGGCTGATTAGGACAGGTGTGGTGTTGTGCCACGTCTGTAATTGTTTAATTGTCGCACACTGGCTCACTTGCTAACATCCCCTGTATCTGCTCGTCCGAGTGTGAGGGAATGGTATGTTGTCCGAAAGTTTAATTGATAAAGGAAAGTTTCGGTCAACACCCACTGCACTTCCGACTGACAAACCGCCAATTTAATTAGGGAACCCGTTCTAATTTTTAATAAAAAGTCACCAAACAGCATTTACCTTGGTTGGTAAATAGTTTCATTCGAAAGGCAGTACTTGAACATTAGGGGGAGGGGTTCCAATAGCAGTGTAACACTGTTCTTTTTTAAGTCAATGAGAGGGTATGAGGACAGCACTTCGCAGAGAAGTTGCTAATGACAATTTTTAATTTATATGAGGGGGAGTATTAGCATTCAATTTCCAATAAATCTCAAGAAACGGTATACACCTTTTAAACCAAGAGAAAAGTTCAAGGTAGACTAAATAAATGGCCATAGCTATAAGTACTATCCGGCGTGCATGTGTGCGGGGATGAATGAGGCACTGAAGCCCTGCTTACCAATTGGGCCATGCGAAATGATTTCGAACGTACGTGCCTAATATACGCTGTGAGTACACCTGTATTTAACATTTCTTCAACTTTCTTCTAATAAAAATTGAAATCCTGATTTTCGGCCAACAAAAAGTTTGCTCCAAACACGCATTTTTGACATCACTCTGGTATTTTTAAGCTAAAGATTTTTATCGCATTGCGTCACCGCAGCATGACAAAAGACCAACCAAAAGACACGTGTCCTCCGCTCTATTCATCTTTAGCGAACTTGCTAACTAGTGAATTCAACGGAGCATATACTGTGTTTTTTTTTGACGAAGCAGACTCGGCCGGTTTTAAAAAAAATCAATCCCAATATAGTGTATCGCTAGTGCTATTACATTCTCCTGGTATGGTTAGGTGGAGATTAAAGTAGTATGAAGTATTGTAAGCTAGTAAATCCTGTAGATCTCTATAATAATACCAGCGTCTATATCTTCTCCCAAGATTCTGGATTATACAAACTGAATATATGTGAATGCGATTGAATGATTTTCATCAAGTGACGATTCAATGTTTCTCTTGAATAGCTTTCTTAGAAAATGACAGTTTCCCTTGGTTTAGTTTTTTGTCTTATGACGTTCTGGACCGAACTGTACTATTTTGTCTATAAAACAATCAGACTAGTTCTTTTCTTCAGTTAGTTCCAATATCGTATTTAGTTTTTTGATCAATGACAATCTGTTTATTTTGTATTGGGTATTTTTTTTTTTGTGTTAACCTTTAATGATCGTTCCTAGTTTATTGAAAACGATTTTCGACAGGACCATATACTTTTCAAAGAAATTTTGCATAAATTCGATTCGTGTACTGGATCGTTCGAATTGGATAATAATTTGTCAACAGCCATGGCAGAAGAATACAGGTAGATGCATCAAAGCTTGGGAGCCTTGATATGTCAAAAAAAAAAATAATATATTTTTTTGAAATATAAGAAAATTTTTATATGTTTTCTTATATGACGACATTCGGAGGTTATTATAATTCGCGTCTTTAAACAATTTTAACAAATTTAAATAATTTTTCATTCAACATTTTCAATTCCAAAATTGGTTTGACAGTTAATTTTCCCAGCGGCTGTGTCGATGCGTCTACCTTTAATCTTCTACCATGGTCAATCGCGTAAAAATTATTTGATCACACCTATTGTGACCATTTTACAAGCTATCATTGACCATTGTAGCCGTATGTGCGTACGTATGTATTTAGCAAGTTGACAAACACAAAGTCAACAAAAAAGTAATTCTCCTCACGGTCATCAAATTCCATTATTTGGTCATGAACAAAGCCACACAAGCTGGGCCATAGATGGGAAATAATTCACGACAGAAGAGGGAAATTAAAGTTTTGAACCATTAATGCAATTCAAACCCACATAAAGATGTAATGATTTCCCATTCTTTTCGCCGCATGCAATTTATTATTAACAACGCTTTGAAAGTTTCTGCTTGCATCCTCTTCATAGTGAGCGAATAGGGCTGCCAGGACTGTTGGTCCAAATTGTCGCCATTCCCAAAGGGCGCAAATGATCCATATTATTTCTATGAAGAAAATGTGAAGCCGGTCAGTGTAATTTGGTCTCCACTGCCTAATTTCCAGCAGTGCCCACTATTTATATCCAACGATCTATATCTTATATATTGTGAATTTGTTTGAAGCCATGGAAAAATAAAATGAGATAGACATATAGTTCTGAATCGATTTGTTCATATGGACGAGCCCTATTGAAATTTGTGGTTGTTTGTTATTGAGGCCTAAATCCGAAATATCTGACCAAATGGAATCGATTTTGCCACATATGTACTACCAAATTCAGGCAGGTTTTGTGAAATTAGGTGAAACCCGGTTAAGCTGTACCTCCTGTATATATGTTTTATTCGATTTGAAATTTAAGCCCCTCAATGCCGCAAGCTGTACCTCCTGTATATATGTTTTATTCGATTTGAAATTTAAGCCACTCAATGCCGCAATTAGTCAATGGTGTTTGGGTTTTTAAGTCTAGCTGTACCTCCTGTATATATGTTTTATTCGATTTGAAATTTAAGCCCCTCAATGCCGCAATTAGTCAATGGTGTTTGGGTTTTTAAGTCTATGATTTACGCAGACGACGACTCAAGTCTTTAAAGAGGACGCTGCATTAATTAAATGCCGCAGCATTTATGCAAAACGGTTCTGATTTCTGTTAATATGGGTTGTTTTCGTTTAAGCTTTTAATACACCAACTCATAATGTAATAAGAGTAATCTCAAAATATTAATTGCATGGCTGCTTCCATGGCTGCTGTCAGAGGTCAGATATCGTACAATATGTAGGAGAGTCTATATGTTTCAACATTAGATAGAGTGTCATGCGTATAAATATAGAAAAAGTGTTACGAAGCTATGCACAGGACAAGCATACGCAAGGTACATACGTGGAGGTGTGAATCAGAATCTGCCCCCAAGAGACAGACACTTATTTTGAACTCGTTTTGATTTAATTTTCTCAACAGTCTACATGTTCTTAATAACCTCTTGTAATAGGGTAAGTGTGCCTAAGTTCGGCATGTCCCAGTAGTCGGCACTTTTTATTTTTAAGCCCAAATAAATGAAACTTTTATAACTAAATATATTTTGTTTACTTCAAATATATTGTCAGCTATCTTTGTGTACAATTTCGCTAAGAAAAGATGATTTATTCTAATAAAAATTAAATTTCTGTATGTGAAAGTCCTCAACAATCCATATTCTTAAGAAAAGTACAGTAAAGACGTCGAATCAGTTTAACTAAACAAAAATATTATATTTTTATGAATTAATTTATTATTATCATTAATTATTCTTACAAAAAAATTGGTATGCCGACAGTTGCAACATGCCATACAGACAATTGGCAAGTGGTGCCGACTACTGGCAAAAAAGCATTGTTTTAATAAAACTACAAATTTATGAAATTTAATAAAAGGTTATTAAAACTTTATTTATTATTGCAAAAACTATACAAAATTTCAAATCTGAATAAATTAACTTTGTAATAATTGAAAAGTTCCACTCAGAATGGTGAGCGATTACAAACGCGAAAATCCTAAAAGTGCCGACTACTGGTACACTTACCCTACTGTAAAGCTCTCATTTCGTTAAAAAACGTTACTCTCTGTAACAGAGTATAATATGAAGTTAAGCCGAAAATTCTCTCAGTACGCGTTACTGAGTAATTTGTACTGGAAAAGTTATCGTACATACCCATTTACAAATTGTGTACATGTTTTGTACAGACAGAGGCACCAAAAGAGGTGTTTATTTACTTTATTCTACATTCCTCCGGAACAAATTCAACATCAGCTCGGCCAACGATTGTTTTGCAATTTTCTACTTTTTCAGATTTTCGCCCATTGCTATTGAGAGATGGCATCCCTAGCCATTGGCGAACAAATGTTTTGCGAAAGAAAGCAACACAACGGTACGGGCGGATAGCATTCCATTGTGTTTGCTGTAGTCTATTTGTTAAGAAAACTTTTCAATTTATCCCAAAATTAAGTTAACTTGTTTTTGCCCACCACGACCTTTATTGTCAACGTCGTAGCAAGCGATTCCCAAATGGTATTTCTGTTGCATAATTGAAGAAGCAGGAAAACATGCATGACACACACACACACAAATTTCGCTAAAGCATTTGCGAGTTGTATCGATATATTGGTAGATTAAGGCGCCAGAATATCACAACATTTTCCTTGATTTCCAAGTGCAGACAAATTTATGCGCCAGGACATTTTTCTACGGGTTGTACACAGAAACAGTGGACTGATTTGTCCGGATGGCAATATCGAAATGAGGATTTACTTTAAATCCTCAGCCTGTTTTCTGTATATACCTACATATATTGTATTAAGAAGTACAAATTAGTGGAAAACATCACTTCTAACGCTTAAGTGGTGACGAAAGTAATACGCCAAAGTGGAATATTTGTTATTATTTCTTAAAACTTTGGATATGAATGCGGGCAACGCTTCCCCGAGGCGATAGAAAATGTCTGCAGGGCAATAGAAGATTCATGTTGTACCTGTGCACACACATGCATATGCATACTGGCTTGTATGTTGAAACAATTAGTCGTAGACACATTTGAAGAAGTGCGTACAACGTACCACACGATGACGGCTCTTAATCACACAGCGAGGCTTAAGCGTTAAAAAATGTTTTGTCTCACAATGACAACGGCTTACAAATTGCCTAATTAATCTTGACTTTGACAATATTTCATAACTTTGCCAGCAGTCCAAGTTTCTCACGGAATGCGGTACAGGGTGGCCAAATGTTTCGTAACAGACTTGTTTGTGTTCCGGACATTTCTTTTTCCTCTCAAATCTTAAAGCCATAATTTCCTTCTTCTTAAATTTGTATAGCCTCTTACGAGTATGTATATATGTTAAAACTATTGTTACAATTATTTACAATTTCATAACCATAGGACACCCTATTGTGTTTTTATTGGCATATATAAGAGAACTGTTCAGTCTGTACGTACAGCAGTCGACGCGTTTGCTAGCCGCTATTGGTTGTCAGTGATGCTAACAATAACACATTTGTTGATAACAATATTCGCCCTGTGGATATATATCTTGTGGTCACGACGAAAGTTCTACAAGGTCTTCCTACAGCTTCCAGGTCCTTGGGGATTGCCCTTGGTGGGCTTGGCGTTTAAAATGATGAAACCGGAAAGTCTGTTTGAAAATTCCCAACCCATTTTTTTAATGCATTCGTTTGTCCATTAGGTGTTCTACAGTACATGGGGGACTTGGCGAAAGAATACAAAGCACCATTCATTTCGTGGATGGGTAGCCAATGCTTTCTCTACGTTAATGATCCGGAAACAATGGAAATTATTTTCAAATCACCATGCTGCACAAACAAAGGAGACGTGTATCGTTTTATGGCCAATGCCATAGGAGACGGTCTTTTCACTTCCAGCTGTAAGTTATTTGAACCCAAAAATTGAAACGGTATATGTCGACATAATGACAGGAAACATCCACACAATACCAGTCCATGTTGGGAAGGCAAAGAACAACCCAACATGTCATTTGACATTGAACTATAATTGCACTTTTTCATTTGCCCAAATGCATAGCCCCTCGGTGGAATAAGCACAGACGCCTACTAAATCCAGCCTTCAGCCGCAAAGCCATTCAAGCCTTTTTACCCGTTTTCAATCGCGAAGCCAGCACCCTTGTCAAAAAGATGGCTGTTACTCAGGGTCAAACGCTTGAGATTTATGGATTATTGAAGAAAATAGTCCTGGAAATAGCATGCCGTAAGTACGAGTATATACCTCTACATAAATGCATAAACTTGGCTATGTCACCCAAACCACCCACAACGGACAAAGAACCGAGCGATAATATTAATTGTTTTTATGCTCTCAAATTTGACTCAACAGTTTTGTTAGATTCATTTAAGAGTCATTTGTAAAGTCATGAGTGATTTCATTATTCCGGCTTTCCTTCTTTTTTTGTTTTCTTCGTCCTTTTTACAACGCCGTTCTACATCCCATACCAAATTGCTGCCTTTCTTCTTTGTTAAGAAACGACGATGGGGAAAAAGATGAATTTCCAAGACAACAGATCAACAGCAATATTCGAAGCATACAATGGGTAAGTAGAACCGCTAGAGTTTAACGTTGAATACTTTTCTCAACTGCTTAACAAGAAAACCAGTTATTAAGAAATTATTTTTCAACTGTCTGACTGTCTGTCTGTCTGTCTGTCTGTCAGCAAATGAAAAGCTTGTATTTTCGTAATTTGCATATGCCTTTTTTAAATTAGTTGGATACCAATGCAACATACAATAGGGGAGTACGATAAGCTTGTAACGATTTGTATTGGATGTTTGTGCCATAATCCAAAATTCAGTAAGTAAGAGTGAGGGAAGAGAACCCTTTCAACGAAACATTTTCTTAGGCAAAGCTCTAAGTTTTATCAGCTCTTTAAATGAATTTTTTTCTGGTAATAGTCATCCTCCTTTCATTGCATCGCAATACTAATTGTCTTATTTTCACAGCATTACAGAAACATGCGTGACGAGAATGTTATCCCCTTGGTTGTACTTGGATGTTGTGTATCAGTTCTCTGCTTTATACAAACGGCAGCAGCAGTTCAGTGTAGCCCTACAAAAATTTGTGGAAAACGTAAGATAGCTGTCACCAAGTTTTATAGTCGTGCTTTGATGAAGTCTTCCTTTCTCATTTCCGAACAGTTACTTGCAGATGATGGTCAGACAGAAGTGTCACATTCCCAGCTTGGGGAGAAGTCAAGAGAGGATAGAAGCTTTAAACTAGAATCTCAGAATTTGTTAGACATAGTACGAGAGCATATAGCAGCTAACCAGTTAACCAGTCAAGATGCAAGAGACGAAGCAAATGTTATAGTGGCCGCGGTTGGTAAACAAAGAAAATAAAAGGCATGTTTCACAATGTAGAACGGGATACACCAATCCTTTGTGTGTACTTCAAAATTTTGACTTTCATTCGATTTAAAGATATTAAAAATTCGTGTTCAGTGAGAAACTCACTTAGAATGTTTTTTTTTATTCATTTCCTTTCGACATTGCGAAACGGGCCGAAAGTCTTATTGACTAATGAAAACTATTCCTTTTTCCAATATAGACATTCGAGACTACATCGACAGCCCTCTACTTTGCCTGTTTGTGTCTTGCTATGCATCCGGAGTGTCAGGATAAATTATATAAGGAATTAGTTGAGATTTTTCCTAAATCATACGATAGTGCTGATACCCGTTCTGGCATAACACTGGAACAACTCCAACGTATGAAATATATGGATATGGTGATGAATGAGTCGATGCGTCTCCTTTCTCCCGTTCCGATGGTACTGAGGCGCGTATCTGAAGATTTTCACTTCCAAAATGTTTCCGGCGAGAGAATACTTTTGCCGAAAAACACTCAAATTGCGCTCGACATCTTTAACATGCATCGCAGTGAAAACTCTTGGGGTCCGTATGCAAGCTCTTTCGAGCCAGAACTGCATTTTGGACCCAACGTCCATCGACATGCATTTGCATTTTTACCCTTTACAAAAGGACTTCGCATGTGTCTTGGATATCGGTATGCACTGGTGCTTATGAAGGTGATGCTGGCCCATATATTTCGAAACTTTCGAATATCCACAGAATCACAGTTAAAAGATTTGAATGTAAAAGGTACAATATCCTTAAAATTGGGTGATTATCCTTTGTGTACAATACAAGCTCGACATGACAATTTATTTACTCAATGAAAAAAATGGTTTTGGTTGTAAATGTTCTCATTTTGTAAGGCATGCCCACATATCGGGACAACGTCGATGTCAACAATATTATAATAAACGGTTTTCATTTGTTCATGGGGATCGAAAGCGGGGAAAACATGTTATAGCCCAAACACAATGGGGACTTTTAACTGAAGCAGTTATGGATTTGATTAAGGTTTTTAAAATTAAGAATATTATAAATACTTTTTGATTGAATGAAGTTTTTGGAACCGCCCATGGTTCTACTGTATTAATTGAAAATAAATAAAAAAAAGGAAAAAAAAAATGGAAAGATTTCTCTGTGTATGTTTTATATCACCATATTTTAGGTCTTTGCATAACATTTGGGTAAAAGTCCAGAGAAACTCTGAGTGCATTTTTCCATATTTAAACAAAACAAATTAAATCGAAAAAGTGTGCCTAAATAAGGCTATTTCAGCAGTCTTCTGCCACAAAAAACTATATCCCTTGCAAACTCTACATATCGAATTTCAGAAAATTCCACTGAAAAATGTGGTGTGGTTAAAATTATCGAAATACAGAATGTCGGAAAGCACCGAAACATGAACCTATATAGGCAAAAATCTGCCTCAGGTGGTAGAACTTAAAAACTCTAAATATCGAATTTTAAACAATTCCGTTTGAAAAAGTGGTTTAATTCGTCCAAATACCGATTATCCGTAGGTACTGATATATGGCCCATTTAGAAACAGACAGGCAGACATCGATAAATCGACTTAAAATTTTACGCTGATCAAGAATACATATACTTTGTTGGGTCTAACATGTTTATTTCCAGGAGTTACAAACCGAATGACAAAAGTTAATATACCCTCCTTACTATAGCTCACATTAAATAATAATGTGAGGATCCCTGTAAGAAAGTGAAAGGAGGTTTAAAATTCTTGATCATATTGTAGAAAAGAAGAATACGACGAAACTTAACAACAATATCAAAGGAATAACTACGAAATATTTACCCTGTCGACATGTTTCAGATGAATTGACATGTAGTGAGTTCCAGTTTATCACACTTTCAAGCAAACGTCAAACAAATACCATTTAATAAAATAAGCTGCCCTCTGTCAAAGGTACGAAAAAAACAGCTTGTAAGTAGACCTTTGAGAAATTTAAATCTAAAGATACCTCAACACACAGCTTGCATTGTATGTCTTCGCGAATTGGATTAAGTGTTTTATTCATAAATTGAGGGAAAACATTAAAAAAACTCGGCTGTGTTAACACAATTTAACAGTTTTATAGCCACAGATGTCACACAAGCCAAGCCGTGTGCAGAAAGTGATACTTCAGCTATGTTGAGCAAGATGAACTAAGAAACCAGATGAAATACGCAATGTTAACTAATGAAAGTAGATATAGTTCGGCTCATTCGCCCCTCGGAGTAGTTCTTTCGAACCACTTCGTTCCGGATCGACAAAGATCAAATAAATATAAATAAAATAAAAATATATATAATATAAATTCTAACGCAGCTCTGAAACAAAATGGTGAATTGATGGAATACTGGAAATTTGTTGGACAATTTGGTTGTAACATAATGTACACGCCATAATATTCTTTTCAGAATCTTGTAATATAATTCTACTAAATTGTTTCATATCTCAGTTCAAATTTCTTCAAATCGTATTATTTGGTCCAAGGAGGAACCCTACAGATTGGTACAATCATATAAAATACAGAATAGAAATACACTTGCCAAATATTGACGATTTTTTTTTCAGATTTCGATATAGCTCCCGTATCCGATTTCAATTGTATTGTGCACCAAATGTCCAATATTGTCGCTCCCACATATATGTTTCATCCGATTTGATATTGAAGTCCACCTACAGGTTACTTACATCATAAAAATATCCCCGTCAATTCAAGTGGAAATCGATTAAGATATTCTATGGCTAATTATAATACTGTTTACTTCACATAATTTCCCAATATAAACCTACGGTGTAGTTCATCATGAAGTCGACCCTACTTTTGTCCTTTATTTACTGGTTTCTATGATTTTTCCAGTCATCACGACTTTTTTATATCGGTTTGAAAAATCTCTAACCAGTTTCATGTTTTGATTTGGAGAATTTGAATTGTTATTCTCCGTCTCAAAGATTATTTTTGGCAGAACTTACTTTCCAAATATATTAAATAAACCAGATATGATTATGATAGTTTGACATAGTTAACACCTTAAAATGCTCATTCAGATGTCATCGAAGATTCGCTGTGTATCTAGAAGATCAAATGAGGAACAAAATAGGGAAAACATGTACTTTTCTTTAACTTTAAAATTGGCCATGGATTTCTCCATGCACCTAATAATGGATCTGCAATGGATGTTATAGTTAATCTTTGGTAAACATCAAACCGTCGCTTCATTAATTCCCCTCAGTAGGAAGAAATAAAACACACAAACGTTATGCATTAATTTATTTTCAGTTTGTCTTGTAGTAGTTTAATTATTTAAAATTAAGTAAGTACGACTGTATTTGTATGTTTGAGTTAAAAAAAAAAAATAGTAAGAATTATTATGTTAGAATTCCTAATAATGTACATTCGAACAAATTCAGACGTCATCATGTGGTTGCTGTGTTGTTGGTATGTCTATAAAATATTCAGAGAGATATGGACGAACTGTTACATATTTAATTGTAGTTTACAGAATGCGCTTTCGAATTTTGGAGAAAAGGAGAGTTCAATATTTTACGATGGTGATCAATTTTAAAATGGAACTGGAGATTATCGGCATGAGCACGAGAGGACACGCATTGCCTGTGCTTGTGAAGCTTAGCTCGTAAGATAGTTTTGGACGTTATATAAAAAACGATATTTTCGCTTCCTTTTTTTAGATAATTTTTATTTATTCCTTTTTTTTGTAATAACTAATTGATCCTCTTAAGCCTATTCATCTAAAGTGGACTACAAATTGCTACAGAATGTTTTGCTGTTTGAATATAAATTTAACAAATACTTCTTTACTTATTTTACGAATATAAAAGCTTTTATATCAGTAATGGCAAACCGTGGTAATATTACGACTATTTTTTTTTTCTTTTTTGTTTTTGCATGTGTTTTATAAAATATTTAAAAATTGGACGCATGCGGGATATTTCGCCATTTTCGTTTGCTCCGATTAGCTTATAAATAATAGATTGTAAAAATCGAAGCACAGAATATCTCGACTTAGCATAATGGACAGAGGAACGGCCAAACCGATTCCGTTATTCTAATGGGGGCGTTTGTTCAAAGTTGTCAATTCTTTGCCAAGCCCGCGCTCAATCTAATGCAGATGCTTCTCGACTGTGTAAAGAGTATATGTGAGTTTTTCTTTGTTTATTTTTACAAAAAAGCGATATATTTTTGAATAAGTTGATTTTATTAAACGATCTTGGTGAATCGTCCTTGCTATGTGTGTATTTTTGTTTATGTGTTAGTTAATATTTGCGTAAAATTGGTGTCTTCTCGTTATAGTTATTCGCAACATTTCATACTATTGCGTTTGTGGGAAAATGCAACTCAAAATCTGATTTTATTTGTAAGACATTTTACACATTATTTAAAAAAATACAAGGCAAATAATTCTAAACTTTAAGCTTCTTTCACAATTAGTTGTTGTTGTTTCTGTGACCTTTTAAAAGCCTTTCAGCGAGTTTGTGATCAGTTTGCTATGATATAACATTTTAAGTATTTTTCATTGCTGCTTAATTAATTATATGATTTTGTTTACGTTTCAATTGGAGAACTACGCTACGAAATGTTCCAACATGAAATCTTACCTTCTATCAAGTAGACAACAATGCTTTTGCATGGGTTTGTTTTTTCCTAACAGATGGTTGGTTTTCTTATTTTGTTTTAATTAGTTTCTCAAAAAATGAGGAGTGATGAATTTACATGTTTATGAGTCCATTAACTTTCGGCTGGTTGATTTGTGGTGAATTGCGTTATGCCATCACTTTCCATGGCCTCTAAGATGTCAGTAACATAGGCAGCTACGTCTGTGTTACTACGTTCTCCTCGCAATATGAAAGGCATCTGTAGCAGGCGATCATATTTGGGGCGTTCACTTTCATTCTTGATTAGGCTAAAAAGAGAAATAAAATCATATAAACCAATGAAATGGTGGAAAAAGATTATAATGGTTCGTCAGTCACTGAAGGGTTGTTGGTATTGGAGAAGCAGTGTTCAGTGTTCTTTTTGATTTTTTTCATTTTAATTAATCAAACAGGCCACTGGAACCGTGTTTATTTACAAGCTTTCTGAGAAGCACCTCTTCCTCTTTAATACTTTGTCTGTCACATGGTGAAAAAATAATAATTGGAAAAGGTGAAGCTGTTACAAAAAAATCTGAAAAACACCACCAAACATCATATTCATTACGACGTCTTTCTTGTCCAAGCTTACTGTTGGCACACTTTTTTTAATTCCGCCAAGAATAGAACCGGCTCGAGAAAATATATAGTTAAGCTACAGAATGTACAACATTGGGAGATACGCCACTTAGATAATGATGTGTTTCAATGCATTAACCAAATATATAAATAAATAATTACATACCAAGTGTTCACAAAATCCACGAATTCTGTGGAAAATTGTTGACCCGGATTAAGACGTGGGGGATCGCCCTGAACGACCTAGTTTGGAATAAATTACTTAAAACTCTATGAATTTATGCAATATGACTTGTATTTACTTGACATAATTGTTCGAAAACCGAGTCCCATTTTCGGTATGGAAAGGTGCCTGTGGCAACTTCCATCAAGGTGATTCCCAACGACCAAACGTCGCTTCTGACATCGTAGCCTCTCGCACGTTCGGGATCTATTCTTTCTGGCTAAAAAGCAAAAAAAATCATTGTTGAGAATTAATATTAATGACGGAAAAGGAATTAAATAATGGATACCCTACCGCCATGTATGGTCTGCAACCTGCATCCTTCGTTTTAGCAATAGAATCGACCAACTGGCCTGAAATGCCAAAGTCACACAGCTTTATGTCACCTCTTTTGTGCAGCAGAATATTGCTTGGCTTAACATCGCGGTGAATAATCTTTAAGTTCTCTTTAAGATAGTTCAAAGCGTGAACAGTGGCCACAGTTATTTTAGCTAATATGGATTCTGGAATCCTCTGTTCCTTATGCTCAAAAATATATTTATAGAACTTGTCCAATGAAGTGTCCATTAGCTCCATACATATCCAGCAGTCGCCCTCTTTGAAGAGCGCTCCATAAAACTGAACAATGTAATTACAGTCGTTCGATTTCATAACCACCTCGAGATCCATCAAAAGTTGTTTTTGTTCCTTTTCGTCTACAGTTGAGCGAATACGTTTCACAGCCATAACCATATCATTCTTCTTGAAAACCATCTTGTTGACAGCACCAAATGCACCGCGACCAATCTCCCCCAAGTCCTCAAGATCCTCAGAGGTAAACTGGTATACGTCATTAGCATTCGGACCCACTTGTAACTTGCCACAAGCTTGCTGTCTAATTCGCTCTCTTGTTCTCTCGGTAGGCATGTTCACAGGTAATCCACCGACCACCATGCTACTTGCCGACGTTGAAGACGCTGATCCAGATGATGTTGATGACAGCGATGGCGGGTGACGTTGTACCAATGGATTTATATTCAATTCATTAGGTGGTGCCCTTGGTCGCCCTTAAATACATTGAAGACTTAATTTTTGCACTTGACGTTACAAGGAGAGGAATAACTTACCAGCAAATAAATTCTTTGGACGTTCCGCCATGTTATCAAATCTATGTTCTCTTAATTGGAACTTGTACACCGAAAAGGGCGCGACCTACACCGATCTCCCTTGTGTTTACTGAAAACGATCCTTGCAGCAGAACCACAGCATAAGGGATTTCTAAATCGTCGTCCCTTCTGGACCAGTGCACAACAATATAAATGACCAGAGACAGCGAAAATCAAAGAAGAAAAACAGATTATCCACGACAGCACAAATATATATTTTTGCGAAAATGAAAATTGAAGGTGTCCAGAGTTATGTAGTATATAATATCTCTACATATTTGTTTTCCAGTCAAATTTTATTTTTCTTTTAGCTCAGGCAGGCTCCTCCGAAATAGGGTTGTGTAAGTCGAGTAATGAACGTCAATCAATGGTTCGATGAATGCTGCCAACTTGAAAGAGTTCAAAGAGAAATCAAGAAAAATAGTGCCAACCAACAAATTTGAAGGAATGGGAGACTTTTAGAAACCTAGATACGAAAGATGAAGTTATGAGGATTCCAAGATTACGAGCGTGAAATCCTCGTAATAAGAGGGAGAATGCGATGGAAAGGCAAAATCAAGATTAACGGAATTACGGTAAGATGCCAATAGCATGTTTACAGTTTACCGGCTTTAGAAAGCTAGTGGATTTGTGTGGCCAACTACGTGGCATATATGTCAAATAAATCCTCATAATACACTTTAAGTCCTGTCATGACCTTTATATCAGGACATCCTATCCTATCCTATCCTATAAAACCAGCTGACTTCATCCGTATTGCCAAAATTCGTGCAATTGTGAATAAGACATTCCAAAATGTGAACAATTCCGTTAACAAACCATGCCTTCACTTTAATGGGGCTCGTTCCTAATTTAGACCAGGCGAAATTATTTGCCGTTATTTGTATAGTTCTCTTTCGAGCTTACCCCTTGCAGTTATATCTTTTTATCTTCGCCTTATCTCTCTTTGTTCATTATATGTGTATAAAAATACCTAATTCCTACCGAATCACAAGTACCATTTTTTCATTTCCATTCCCACAAAGAGAGACTTTCCGCAAGAAAACTTGGTAATATCAATTTGGCTATCCATTAAAACGACTGCAAAATCAAAGCTTAAAGTGTTGATATCAAGTTTATATAAATTTTTAAATCCTTGTAGTTCTGGAACACACCATTTGAATCGACGATGGGCCGAACTAGTTTCCTTTTTCGTTCAGTGAACATGACAGCCTTTTGTTTTGATTTTCATCTTCATCGCACATTCCCGCTTTGGTCCTTATTCCTTGAATCTACGGCGGCGATTTTTTAGTCGTAGCTTTGAACTCTCCCATTTGTGGTTGCTCGACGTGAAAAATGTTTTTCGTATTTTCCTTAGCGTAGAAAAACGTCAGATAATAAGTGATCCCAAATAGATAGGCTGTAACCAGGAGTAGTGGTATAAAGATTCTTCTTCACTGATGACCAAACAAGTGCACAATCGTCCAATATGAATCTGTACTGCTTAAATAATTTCGTTGATTACTCACTCGCCGTACACCAGCCGTTGAAGCACAGCAATCGCATCAAGGTATGTACCTTAAGGACATTGATATGGATGACCTAGCTAATGAGAATATCACCTACAGTATACATGCTTCGATATATCGGAAAACTATATTGTGCTTGGGGCTTCTTCGGGGTCATTGTACTTGTTTAATCGGCAGGGGAAGTTTTTGCATCTCATTCCCAGCAAACATGGAGCCGTGAATCATCTGTCGATATCGGCCAACGAGAAATATGTCGGATTCTCTACGCAGCGTTCAGTGGTGTGTGTCTATGTTGTTAACTTATCAGCGCAGTCTGTGCCGCAAGTAATTTTTACGAATCTCTGCAGCGATGCATCCGTTCAAGTGACTTGTATGCACTGGACGCAAGATGAAAAGCAGTTCTACTATGGCGACTCAAAGGGTCAAGTTAACCTGGTGCTATTGTCCACATTCATAGTAAGTAGTATTTTATTTATTTATTTCGTTTTTAATTGGTAATTGCAACAAACCTTTTATCACTTGAAATCGGTTGGAAAATTGAAATCTCATAGTTTGGGGTGTACGGACTTTGCACGTAAAATTACATGTAAAATATATTGGGACAATTAGAAACACAAGGACTATTGGAATTAATAATGACCAACCAATAGGGGGTTGGTTACAGATTGATTAGCTAATGAAAACCCACATTAAAAGTTCCCTTCTTGCTCGGAACATCGATTTTACTAGTGCAAATGGGGCGTCCCGAAACGAATTAGTTTACTTATTTTCTATAAGGGGTAAATCCTTGCATTTTTCTAATAAGTCATATATGTACATAGTGCGCTTGCCATACTCACATCATTTGTTTTGACTTTTGTGCACACGCTCATTTTGGTTCGGTATAATCTTCACACTTTATAAAGAGCCGTATTTTATTTCAATATATCTTTCTCAAGGGCACCACTCTTATAAATATGTCCATCCACCCGATACTCTTTCTGGAATCTCCCATTGTTCAAATTGATGACTTCGAATCACTTTTACTTGTGTCGAACTGTACCAAGTGCATACTGTGCAATACCGAGTACGAGGAATACAAGCAGGTATGTTACAATGATAAACGTAAAAATTAAGTGCAACTCGATCTTAGATAATGTGTCGTTCATAGATTGGAAACAAACCCAGAGATGGAGCGTATGGTGCATGTTTTTTCATTTCTTCGAACGAAGCGCAGCAGCCCTCGCGTATTTACTGTGCACGACCCGGGTCTCGCTTTTGGGAGGTAGACTTTGAAGGGGATGTCTTGCAAACACACCAGTTTAAGTTTGCGTTGGCATGTCCGCCAAGCAAGATTCACAAGGACTCAGACAATGAGAATGATAACATGTGTGGCGATAATGAAGGCAATGACGAAATGCTTGACTACCAGCCTCAAAACTTGCAGTTTGGAAGAATTCAGAGACTCAGACAGGACTTCTTGGTGTCTTTTACTGAGCTGGGACTGTACGTTTTTGATATGCGGAATTCCAGCGTCGCACTTTGGTGTAATCAGTTTGAACGAATAGTAGATTGTCGTGTCGTTGGCAATGGAGAAATCGTGGTATTCACACAAACTGGTTCGTTGTATTCGGTACAAATGCACACCCTGCAGTCACGGGCATCAGCGCTGGTACGGCAGAATAAATTTCTGGACTGTGCATGGCTAATGCGTCGGAACGTAAAGTACTTTGCCGACAAGGCAAGAGAGGACTACGAGTTGGGTTTGTTAAATCAGATAAAAGATTTCCTCATGGATCGTCACCAGTACGAGTTACTTAACGACCTGTCAGTAATTTTCGATGCGATTGCCCAGTGTGAGAACAGCGGTGATAATAACAGCTCCGGTGGAAGTTCAACTGCCGCTGACAGGAGCTGTAGTCTTGGAGCTTCGGCAATTCCATGTCAGAGGAGCACAGAGGAAAGTTCCCCGCAGGGCGTCTACGTGTTAGAAAATGCTTTCTGTGATAACCTTAAGAGTCAGAAGGGAGAGAAACATTTCAAAGATGCCTTGTTAACGGTGACAGGCAAATTTGGTAAAAATATTATCAAGTACAAGTTTAACATATTTGCCGAAGAACAACAGAAATTGGTGAGGGACTTGATACCCGCAAACGAACGTTCGCTGCCATTCAAAGACATTAAGGCCATATATGAAAATGATGAGGAGATTGTGTGTCGCACAAGGAAGGCGCACTCTTCCCCCTCGCCAAGCACATCTCAATCGTGTCGCAATAGAGTAAAAAACACTGGGACCGGGCAACACATTACCGCTGAGGAGAAAACCATATACAACTTGTATTTGATTTGTAAAAGCTCTAAATTTAGTAATACGAATTTTGTCGAACGATATCGTTCGTTGTTCGATGAATATTCGGCACCAGAACTGATATCACTGCTTGAAAAACTGTCAAGGGTGATGGTCGAGCATGGTGATGACCCGGAGCAGGCTCAACGGCACTGTTACGAGATGTACTTTCACTATTTGAATCCTGAGCTCATATGGGAAATGGACGACGCTTCTCGAGACTACATAACGCAAGGATTCGTTTTGTTGAATTCCTCGGACGATATTGTACGGTGTGACAATTGTATGTTCCCCTTGAGATTCGACAATTCATGCGTGTTTCATGAACTTGGTTCAGTGTTGTTGCGCTACTACTGGTCACGCAATGAGCAAGTCAAATGTTTCGATGTATTGACCCGCGTCCCAGCTCTATTTGACATTCTTGCCAAACTGTACTTGGCCGAATACAATATGGATAAGGTTTTGCCGATTATTCTAAACTACGGTCAGCCGGACTTGCTCATAGACATGGGGAAAAGCTTCACACTCAACGCATGGGCAAAGTGCTTCGAACACTTCGTGGATTTGCATCGTGGTAGACTAACTTGCATAAACTGCGAGTGTATAACAACAGTTGAAAATGTCAACCGTCATTTTTTCTACACATGGAATTGCTTCCTTGGCATTGCTTTGGAATATATGGAGGCGGATGAAATACTTTCACTAATTTTTAAGTGGTCAAATTCAATACCCAGTGATGCCATAGACCGTGAATTCTATTCACGTTGCCTTCTGAAGGGTTGACCGGCCAGACGTTTCCCGCAATGCCCGCGCATCAGCCCACATCCGGATTTTTTCGGCGTTTAACTAAAATCGGCATTGATCGTTCCAAGTTGTTCTATTAAGAACTGTGCTTGTTAAAAGTACTCTCTATTACAGCCAAACTATATAGCATTTATATAACATAATAGTTTATACCAAATATAAAAATAATTATTTGTATACTTTCTCTTGCGACCGCTAAGATACTACGACATGTTTATTGCCACCTAACCAAGTTTAAGTTCATTGGTTTGGAAAAAAATCGATATAACCCAAAAGCTTTAATATTATTTATTGCATTTATTTTTTGTTCATAAACCCGTTCGACTGTATGAGTGTTACTTAAAAGAAACTAAGTATGTTTCCCTTTTACACGAATGGCGTTAAGAGTTTAATTTAGGTAACCCATTTAATATAGTTATGTGAATGTATTCAGTATTATTTTTACAATGTATACCACCATTTCGGTAATAATTTTCGTAAACGGTTAGGTGGATTTTATCGAGTTACGGAAACAATATGCTTATTAAAGATCTTTCATTTAACACATTCGTTTTTTTTTCGAAGCCGATAACTATTAAACTTATCCAACAACACTTGTACTCAGTTTTATAGGACTAAAAATTATGCAAGTCAAGCTAACTAAATGTATATGGATTCAGAAACACATGGATGTGCTGCTCTTAGAACAGTTCAAATATAACAATATGTGGAATTAAAAATTTACAATTAGCAGTTACGCACCCTTCCTTCCAAATACGGTACAAGACATATATACTCACTTAAGACATTTCATTGCATGTAAGTTATGATATTTACACCATATGACAAGGCAAATAATAGATTCCAAAATACATATGACAATGTCGAATTCAAAATGTCAAAACTATACTATTTTTAAGTTTATGAGGACACAGTGTGAGTCCTGATGAAATGTAATATGTCATTATTACCAATTCATGCTTATAAAGTTTTTTTTTTGTTTTTGGAAGGGAATGCCGAAGTAAAAATAGAATTGACGCATTCAACTTCCTGCTTACTATACAACAATTTTTTCTTCTAAACTTTACCTGTCTGATACAGGCATACTTTCATATGTAATTTTCACTCTACAACATTTACAAGGTAGGCCCTAGGTATCACCTGAATTTTGGCCTACCTAATACCCGACATACCGTTCTCCATTATGGTAAAATGTTTTACACAGGTGCAGTGTCCAAATTTCCACGCTAACCGAACTATTATTTTGAATAATATGCAAAATAATTTTGATTGTTTTCAGACTCTGTTGAAATGACATTGCAACATATGTGGGGAATAAATTTGCGATGTCACCAAACTGTAATTATATTAGAAGATCTATAAAGTCTAACTTCCCATGAGTATATGTAATATTGAAGAGAAATAAAGAAACCAAATAATGTTTTGTATGAGAATATTTTATCAATTGATGTGAAGTTAGAGTATAACTATAAAATGTGTTTTTATTTTGTGTGTTATTATTTTATTTGGATCGATAGCAGACATGACAAATTCATGACAAATATTTTTGTGGAATATTGGATCCCTTTTATCAATTCTTAAAAAATGCGTCAACAGCACTACTTTGGTGACTCGCTTAAATGATAAATTGTTTTATTGCCGGAGACTCTGCATAACTAAAATGCAATAATTTCAAGCAATATAGCTCCGAAAATTACGTTTTAGTTCTACTATCATAATCTTGTGATTCAAATTCCGTTTATTTTATCAAGAAACCTTTCATTAAAAGAGACTTATAATTTTTGGTGGTTTTGATGTTTTGAAGTTTTCGACTTTAGTTCGGTGTCATTAGTACTTACACAGCATTTATTTATTTTCAATTAGAAATATTCTATACGACATACATTTACATATATTGAAATGTTATGAAAAAATCAAATAAATATTTATGGATATAAATTTACAAATAACTGATTGTTATTCAATTTTATTGCTACACTGCGGAATTGCAAAAATTATTAAGGACTGTCAATATTTTGTCTTTTGTCAATATTTGTTGATATTAAAAACGAAACAAAATTGGCAAAATGTGGGGGTGGGACCGGGGGCTACGTCCCTGTTTTTATGTATACTATTGAAACTGACTAAACAGTGTGAAAATGGAATAACTTAGCTTTATTTGATAAATCTATACATTTTCTATAGAACGTAGTTCCGGACACATGAATGGTTTGGGAGACTCATGCGTTACTATAGATACCACTTGTCAACAATACTAACTCGATTGAAAAGGTGGCATATTATAGTACTGTATTAGTATTTGCTCAATATTTGCTGATATTAAAAACTAATGGCAGCGACACCAACTTTGCGTGATAGCTGGGGCACGAATGCTGAATTCACTGACGGATACACCTGCCAAAAAAGTTCCTTTATTAAAGTAAAGTCGAGGAGGGATCCAATACGTCGGGGCCTAGGCCATTCCCGAACAAACTTAAATAATTTTGATAGGCGAAATTCTTTTACAACTCACTCGACGGTAACTGAATCGGGCAATTCAACACAACCTCTTACCACGAAGATTCAAATAACTCCGTGCCCGCACAATCAGAGATTGCAGTTTACAGAACAACGCTGTAATTATGAGAGCCTTGTTCAGAACAAATTAGACCTTTATTCCCGGACTAGATATGTTTTAAAATCCCAACCGTGTCACGCTAGCCTTACAAGTTCTGTGGTTGAAACCATTGGCGATAAAGTTCAAACGATGATTTCGGATATTATTTCTGCTGAATTTTTAGCACTAAGAGAGTTCCGTCTTAGCAACAGAAATGAATGTTTTGGCCAGATAGAACCTATAAGGGAGCAGCGTTATCATACCTCTTTTAACAAGGAAGCAAGTGACGACTACTCAACACCGCAGCTGCAGAAACACCTATCATCCACACCTAAGCCCTATGTGCTACAGCAAAGCCTTTTGAGGGGAGAAATGAATAAAGATGTCCAAAATCGTCGTACCCAATTAGACTACTTGGCCAAAGGACTAAATAAAAGTTGTGCTCTCAGTTTTCAGGCAACGCATTAGCGTGAGAATAAAAACTATTTCCGAGAAAGATATGACCTGTTGTATTTTGTTTTTGTTCGTGGGCGTCGAACGGACCTTCTCTAGCCAATTACGAACTTGAATTTCAAATTTAAGCTAGAAACTTCAAATCACTTGCGGCAGAACCGTAAATAGGGGATTATTATAAAGTGCCATATTTTCGATTCCCAATGTCCTAAGAAAAAAATCAAAATAATGTGTGATGCACTTCCCATACAATGGCATGTTGGCAATTTATGTTATTCTGAAGGAAAGAGTAAATATATATGCATGGCGAAATTCGACATAAAATAAAAATATATACTAACAAAATAAAAAGAGAAGATCGAATCTGGAAAATATTTTATTGTATGCACTACAAGGCTCGTTAGGTAGGAGTTTTAATGGCGGAAAATGTTGTCGTGCGATACTTATCTTTCGGTTGAAGGCATTAAGGTAGGAGTTTTAATGGCGGAAAATGTTGTCGTGCGGTACTTATCTTTCGGTTGAAGAAATTAAGGAACAAAAGGACATAGAAATAATAGAGTTGCAAGGACGAAATTCTATCAAAAATCCTCATGTGATCTTAAAAATAAGCTACACATGCTGCAGACAATTTCAAGTTTAACCAACAACGAATCTGTCATTCGGGGTTCGTAATACACTCATTAGACCCAAAAGAATTTTCCGGTTTCGATCGCTTTTATATGAGGCCATACACAAACGTGGTCCTATTTCTATGAATCTTTAAATAATATTTAATTTTCATGAAAAATGTGGGACACACTTGGAATCGGAAACTACAGTTGTATGGGTGCTTTATCAAACGAAAAAAGAAGGCCAAACTCTGTATAGGGAGTGAAATTAAGAGAAGTCCCCTATAATGGGTAAATATCATCTCCTACAATGTGTGTTCGTATGTAGGTACGTACATAATATATGTAATTAATTGAAAAGTTTTAGAAGTAATAGTAGTGTAGATTCGGAGTCTAATAATTCGCATTAAGAATACATTTTTTAATATTTTTTATCTGTTAAATGGGCGTATGTTGTTACTTTCTCTCTGCCTGTATGGACAGCTAAGCTGTGTGATTCTGTATTATACAATGTATTTATACATACTGATAACATATGAAGGTTATAAGACATAGTGGGCTAGGATGAAACTAATCCAAATAAAAAGAATTTTACCCAGGCACCTTAAAACGTTTCCGAGTAAAAGGCGCATTTAAATAAGGCATACTTAGAGTAAGTATAGCCCAAATTGTAACCAAATCGATTACGGCCATTTGTATCCGAGGTACACCAAAACGTGGACCTAGAGAGAAGATCATATTAGTTTTGTGATACAAACTTGTTAGCCGAAACAAAGAAAAAACTTCTCGCCAGAGTTATGTCCCTTACACATAACGAATGTCAGCATCACTATTCTCAAAAAAACCAACACTTTTACATATGGGGTCTGTTTGTGGACCAAGTGAACCTAAAACATCGTTTCGATTCTATGCGGACAAGAGGCGAAACTTTAAGCTGATGAACAACAACTCTTTGCAAAGAAAAGACTTTTGCCATTTCTGGCTGATAGCTTGTGTTCGCCTGTACGTCAGCCAGTATGCCACACAACACCACTATTGCTTTAACAAATAATTAAACCACAAATCTTCCATGGCAGCGGTGTGGGTGTGTAGTGGGACAGAATTCTCTATTCGTATGTCGGCAAGTGAGCCATATCCTTGCAAGAAACCTTGTGGAACATTATGTTCTTCTTAAGTTATTAGCGGTTTCTCCATGAGCTGAAAGTGTTGTTTGGTCTTGCTGGCAATAATTTGTTCAGTCGGAAGATGCGTACAAACAACAGGGATAGGCGGGCGGATATTTCCCCTATTAAAATTTTAATTGAAAATGTGTATCTCACGAGCAGAGGAAATTGGGCGCAATAGTGTGTATGCAAACACATACGGAAACATCCCAACACAAAGCCGAACTTCTATAACACATTTCACATGTACAACACACAAACATATTTCGGAGAAAAACTTTCTTTTTACCATCGGCAATAAATAAGGAAAATGAAGGGCGTATAAAAAACTGTCTAATATTTAATAAGTACTACATTTTCTGAGTAATTAAATTTGCTGTGCAGTGTTTCTTTTTCGTATCCATTTAACGCATAGCTGACAAATACCAAACATTCCCTAATGGAGTGTAATAATACATATTTAGAGCAACAATTTCATTAGTGACATTATGGCATCGTCACCTTGAGTAGCGATTAAGGCCTCAGCTTCCAGTGCTTCAATGTAATTAAGGGGGAAAGGGGAAATTTTAAGCAGACAACACTTTCACCAATTCGACATCAAACCCACACACGCACATAGGTTATTTAAAGTGACGTCGTCTGTATGAGGGTTTGCAGTCACCGTCGTGATATATGTATGGCGACACTCACACCTGCTTTTGTTCGCTTTTGAGGGAACCTTAGTTTGGTTGATGGGAGTTTTAAATGGGTGAAGGATTTTACTTTGTCATAAATAATTCAAACTCCATTAAGAACAGGCATACATTTTAAATTTGACATGTGGTAGAGAAGAAGCTTCCAAAACACGTTGAACGATGTAGTTATATATTTTTGTGTTTTCGCCAAATATATAAAGAAATAAATACATATGCGAGGCAAAGAGTAAGTAACGGCGGAACTCAATTAATTCGACCGATCTTAACTGGTTCCTTCAAACGTTTTGATACAATTTTACAAAATATTATTTGAAAATAATCTTCCTTGCTGAACGCCGGCTCCACTGTCAAAATTAGACATCGGCCCCTGCGTTAAGAACCTCCCACCATTGTACACATCCAATTAGATTCCAATGTAAAGTGAAAATCTTACATTTTACATTAAACATTTCTATAGCATGGTTTTAAGCGCTCAATGTTAGAAACACTATACTAATTAGTATACTTGTAGTATGGTTAACCAGTACGTTAGCGTCGAATTCATTTACACATCAAAATACGTGCATTTGTTTCATTACTTTTTATTTCTCACACTCTAGAGTAATAACGTTCATCGAAAACATTTAGAAATCAAAACCAGTAAAGAAAGGTCAAAAGTCGGACGGGTTCGTTTGACATCAAATGCTACCTGTACTTTGTTTAAAAAAATACATGGACAGACGGACATGCATAAATCGACACGAAATGTGATTGTATGCAGATCATTGAAATGAACTATTGGTCTAATTCGTTTCCTTTTTCTATCTTACAAACAAATGAACAAAGGCATAATACCCTGACCACAGTGTGGTGTAGGGAATAAAAATCCTCCAAATAGTGGCACTTCGAATATTAAAAAGAAAAGTAATCACCCTCCTG